TAGCTTTATAATGATGTTGTACCGAAAACGGCTGGTATGAAGATCAAAAACTAAAATTAATCAATGATGGTTATCGATTTTTTTCTTCTATAGAGAATTTTCGAGCTTTATGCACAGGTGAAAGAGGTTTTGGATATAGAGATTCAACGTTTCATCGAGTAATTCCACAATTTATGTTACAAGGTGGAGATTTTGAACGACAGTAAGTGAAAATATTTCCCTGCTTCATATTAATAACTTAATAAGTAATTTGACATTTATTTAGCAATGGTACTGGTGGTCGTAGGTAAGATAATTATGCCAGACTTTTAATTCCGCATTTACAAATATTTATGTAATCAATAGTATCTATGGAGGTAAATTTGAAGATGAAAAGTAACTATCTATTAATAAATTGTTGACAAAAATAGAAAGATGATTCGTAATATGTTTCATAGCTTTCAACTTAAACATACCAAAGAAGGTTTACTTTCAATGGCTAATGCTGGTAAAAATACAAATGGTAATATTTATTAAACCGTTTTTTTTTGTAAGGAATACAAGTTCATTATTTCTAGGCTCACAATTTTTTGTTACAACAGTAGCAACCCCATGGCTAGATGGCAAACATGTATGGATATTTTGCAATGAAAGATCAATAATTTTATTCGATTTATTTTACTAATAGGTCGTCTTTGGTGAAGTAACTGATGGAATGGATATCGTTCGAAAAGTCGAAGCTTTAGGCTCACAGTCTGGCAAGACACAGAAAAGAATTACAATTGCTAGTTGTGGAGAATTAGATCGTTAAAGAAATTGCACAAAATTTAAAATTTCTCTTGTTATCCTTGCCTGTTACTATTTAGTCTATGTTCAAATACTCAAAATCTAGCTGTTCAAAAGCAACTTATTGTATGAGATAGTAGGAAAAAAAATAAATTAAAATTGATGTCAAAGTATATGCTTTTAGTTTCTTCATTCTCAACGGTTTTTACGATAATTTTTGGAAAATAACAAAATCATTTGTGCTCGACGTTTTCTTATAATTTATTTGAAAAATAACATTTAATTATTTTAAGAAGAATAAAAGGGAACAAGTGTAAACTATTCACATTCTGTTGTATATTTCTTTAACACAATGAATAGTATCATACGTATAACCACAAAACGATAGATTGATTGCCGCTAAATGATTAAATTATTCTCCTAACTAAATGTTTTATAAATGACATGTAGACACATTTCTGTAAAACTAAACACATACTTCGTACTAGACATTGCTACACTAAACACTATATGTCGTTTTTTCAATTTTTTCCAATATGAAGCAATGAAAGAAATATATCAATATTCTGCTTGTTTGTGGTTCATCATTGAAAAAAGAGAACAATCAACATTTTATTTTAGCCACTGATCTTCACAATGTATAAGTCATCAAGGTGCTAAATGGTAACATTTTCTGTGTCTACTTACTATTGCTTTTGCTTAAAATATGCATTTTCTGCATGACCAACGTTTATTGATTGTAAACAATTTTATTCCCTAGTTTCTCCTAATATTGATTAGTTCAACTAGTAATAATGCAGATTTTTATTGCTCAGAAGTATAAAACAAAAAAGTATGCATTCTTTACTAATTATCGTACTTGTAAAATAATATCTAGATGTAAATATCACAACTTGAATTTACTGGTTGCTCAATTTTTACAACATGCCAAATGTATAACCAGAATAATTTCCACTTTACACACAGTTTGAAATGATGAAGTTGATTCAGTATTTCGAAAGAGTGAAATAGCTGTGATTAATACTGTTGTTGTGATAAACCCTATTAAATTTGTTCGAAAGGACTTTGTAGTTTCAATGCTAGTTACTTGTGAATGTACGATACCAAGTAAACGAAGTACATGTGAGTATTATTTTATATTTACTTTTAAAAGAAAAAATATTATCATCACCTTTATTTATAGCTTTAAAAACAAATTTTCATTTACTCAAATATATTTTTACAACCTAAAAGTACACATTCAATCATGCGAATGTTTCTCATTACACAATTTATTATGACTGCGCAAAATGACAATGAGCAGTCATAAAATTGATTCGGCTCTGACGTAAATGTCAGTAACAAATTTGAAAATCTATTGTTATAGTAACAAGAAATATGGCCGGATGTTCTGCATGTGCAAGTGATCATAATCAAGTGAACTAGTTGACTACTTGTGAGCGTACGATTGAAAAATCATATTCATTTCACAGGATTCGATAGGTGTCGTCGTGGTCAACATTTTCGTTTAAATTTTATTAACTATTCGACATATAGGGTGATTTTTTATATTGAAATCACCATTATTCGAAAATTTGTCGAAGTATTTTCGAGATGAACGCAGAGAGGACGGAATGCTAACAAGCTATGAAATCAATGATCTCATTGGTTAATAAAAGACAACGCTGCCTACGTCTTTTCATCCGTACAGACAAAGAACGACCGCCGTGCCGGTCGCTTCTTGTTCTTTATCTCGTTTCCATTTACTTTTTTCTTTTTTGTTACGGGTTCATCGTAAACGTACACTTCCAGCTAACTTAGGTAAGAATAATGAATAGTTACCCATTTGTGTTTCTCGAGCACATCATCATCATTGGTAAAAAAAGGAAGAAGAAAGAGACTTAATATAATAATGTGCATCCATCATTCATTCTTTATTCTTATATTCATTTTTTTAAGTTAATAATCATGGACTATCCAACAAATAATCGTGTGCCTCAACCACCGATGCATCATCAGATTCCGTCACATCCTTCTCATCCCATGCATCATCCTCAACATCCACTTCTTTCAAATCAATTACAACCAATTAATCCTGAAACACATACATCAATGTGGCTTGATGATCCGTATGCAGTTTCAAATGCATCAGCATCACAACGTGATTCAGGATTCAATTCACGGGCTGCTTCATTGCGCAGTATCGATTCTACAGTGACCAATACAACTGGTCCGTTACATCATGGAACAACAACACCTGGTTATGAGCCGATTCCTCCGCCACCACCACTGCCACCCGATCATGAAAATATTCATCCACAATATACTGAAATGCAACCAGCTCCAGTACCACAGTCACGACCGGAGCCAAGTCAAGTTTTACCAGAATTGCTTAATTTAATAATGGAAGATGATCCTGTTATTGTACGTGAAGCTGTTTCACTCACACATGTCTTAGTGAAGGAAGGTGGCGAAGGTCGATCCGAAGTTATACGAAATCGTAATGTAAATTTTCATGCATGAACGTATTTTTCGATTTAAAACAAAAATAATTTTCTTTAGATAATTCATGCTCTATTGGAAAGTTTTTCGAAAGATTCTGGTGATGGCAAATTAATTTTTGTTCTGGCGAGCTTTTTCCATGGTCTATCACAACAACAAGAAGGTCTTCGTGCAATACTTGATTGTGGAGGAATCGCACGATTGATTCAAATTCTTGAGTAAGTAAAATTGTTTTTATAATGCGTTCTTGTAAGCACATATTCTTTCCTCTTTTTTTTATTTAACTTCAAGTTCACCTGACAGTACAGTTAATTTTGTTATAACAACATTACATAATTTTTTAATCGTTCTCCAAGAGCAATCAGCCAATGAAATAGATCGCTGCAATGGCACACAAAGTTTTATTAATTTACTCCATAATACAAGTGATAAACTATTAACATTAGTTTCCGATTGTTTACTTAAAATGTCAATTTATAATTTGAATTCAAAATTATTCATTCAAAATAGTGAAGAATGTGTACAACGTCTTTTATCCATCTTTGATACGACGAAATATGATAAGTTATTATTGACAATATCAAAATTGTTTCCAATCATATCTTCTGGAAATGAAATAATTAAAAGAGTGTTTTTACAACTAAATGCGTTGAGTATATTTGAAAAACAAATACGTGTAACAAAAAGTATTCGTATAAGACATAATTGTCTTATTGCATTAAGAAATATATCTGATCAAGCCACTCGCATGGTGAGAAAGAAAAAAATTTACATTGCTTATATTGTACACTTTTCATAATCAATATGCCTGTTCTCCTTTTTCTTCAGCGTGATGTAGATTCATTAATTCAACAATTAGCAGCAATACTTTTAACTGATGATCACCAATCAATTTTATGTTCATTAGGAATTTTGAGCAATTTAACAGCTGACAACAGAATCAACAAAAGTTTATTAGTGAAGCTGAATGGGGTACAAACATTAATGCAAAAATTAATGATGAATGCCGATGGAAACGATGATTTAATTGAAGCAGCTGTAAGTTAAAAGAATTCGTATTTCTTTACATTATCCACTAAAAATTATTCGTTCTGTAACAGTTAACCGATGTGGGCTTTAAGTTGAGAAAAAACTAGATTGAGTATTTTGACTGTGTACTAATATGAAAACTATCGAAATCGTCACTGCTCCTTCTTTCCCAGTGAATTTAGTTACTGTTTGTGAATGTGCAAACATCTCCGATTTTCAATCTTGATAGTCGTACTAATGTCTCGAATTTATTTGTTACATTCATCTCTAATCTAACTGGAATTTCATCGTAATTCATAAACTAAGACTTTTACTTTTCGTGTTTACTCGCTCACATGTATTGATGAGAACTACTTTCATACAGTTGAATACAAATTGAATTATAATTTCTTGCATGATATTTACTCAGTCAAACATGATTTGATTTTTTTGTACTCTACTACCACTGTTCAGCATCGAAAAAAACGTTCTTTTTTTTGTCCTGTAAAGCTGCTTCTAAAAATAGCAGCATTAGCCTTGAGTTTATTAAGTTTCGTGTAATTGAATTCATTTTTGAAGTAGAGTCGCTGCAATATCATCGATAGATTAACGATTTCATGAATGAACTTAAATATCGGAGTGATCTAGACGGACGGATGCAGAAGAAATAGATTTTTCAGCTCTATCACGCACTTGCATAAACGAGCGAAATATGATTCGTGCACAGTATCATAAATGTAACTTGAATTCATAAACAAAAATTTTATTCATAGAGGCATAGTTATTTATTCGACTAGACTGCCCAAAAAACGTTGTTCGTTGTTAATGAAATTTATTCTTTGTTTTAGTTGTGCACACTTCGACATGTAACAGCTCGTCACGATTTAGAAAATGAAGCTCGTGAATCAATTAGAAAATCATATGGAATCGGTAATATCGTGAAATTATTAAGAGATAAAAATTTTAAAGAACATTGGGGAATTATCAAAGCAACTGTTGGCTTAATAAAAAATTTATCCTTATCACCAACAATTATTGCACAATTATGTGAACAAAATGCCGTTCGAAGGTTAATAGAATTATTGATTAACGTAGATCGAGAGCGAACAAAAATTTTCGATGAAAAACAATATTTACGTCAATTCGATATTATGATTGAAATTATTCTTGGAGCATTAAATAACTTAGTAAAAGATTCATCATGTAAATCGATTATCAAAGAAATGAATTGTACATCAATCGTAATTCGTGTAAGATTATTTCTTTCGAAACATTTCGTTTGATCTTTTGTTTCTTTATATTTTTTAGTATTCAAATATGCCGTCGTGTACATTACAACAAATATCAAGTATTTTATTAAAAGAATTAAATGTCGATCGAGATCGTAATCAATTAAGTGATCTATCATCTCATCAACAATTAAATAATAATAATAATCATATGATCGATTCTCGTCATATACGTCAGCAGTGACTTTGAATTTTTTGTTCTCCTAGTCATCTATAATTCCTTATTTTCTTTTTGAGTATATGTATTCTCTCAATGTTGTTTCAATCGCTTTTTTCTCCTATCAATTGGCTTAATGTCAGATGTTGTTTTGTATGTATTTTCTCTATATGTGTGCTTCCTTTATTATACATATATTTGAATGTTTATACATATTGTGCAATCGAATTTTTCTGTTAGCATTTTTGTTGTAATTTTTTTCTCAAATTAACTGACGTTTTCACTGTATCGATGATGTCATGTCATGTTCTAGATTCGAATTTCCAACATCAAATCGTCTGAATAATGGCCCTACCAAACGTTTTCTTCGATATTACAATCGATAATAATCCAGCTGGTCGCATTACATTCAAAGTAAGATCAAATGACTTCTCACGAAATCGGATACAACAAAACTTAATGTTTCTTATTTACAGCTCTTTGATGATGTTGTACCAAAAACAGCTGGTATCTGAAATGAATCATTTTATTTCAGTATAATAATGTTATTTTTTGTTATTTTAAGCTAATTTTCGAGCATTATGCACAGGCGAAAAAGGTTTTGGTTATCAAGGAAGTACATTCCATCGTGTCATTCCTCAATTTATGCTTCAAGGTAAATATTTTCGTTACTTGTTCTTAATGATTGATTCATTGATTGATTTTTTTATAGGTGGCGATTTCACCAGACAGTAAGTTGATAATTAGAAAAAAAAACATTCTTTCTGATAAATATTTACTTATTTTTTCTCTATTAGCAACGGCACTGGTGGTAAAAGGTATGTTGATTATGTTGAATTGATTATGCTGAATTAAGTTTGTTGATATTTTAACTTACAGTATCTATGGTGAAAAATTCGCTGATGAAAACTTCAAGCTTAAACATACAAAACCTGGTCTTTTATCAATGGCTAATGCTGGTCCAAACACCAATGGCTCGCAATTTTTCGTTACCACCGTTGTAACTTCATGGCTCGATGGCAAACATGTATTATATCTTCAATAATTATTTATTTTACTTAGTATTTTATTTTTCATAGGTCGTTTTCGGTGAAGTAGTGGAGGGTTTGGATCTGGTTAAGAAAATCGAAAGTTATGGTATGTTATATCAATTTATTTTCTGTCTTAAACAATCTCTAATTTATTTATATTCTAAAATCTAGGCTCGCAATCAGGTGCTCCAAAGGCCAAGGTTGCTATTGCAAAATGTGGCACTTTGTAATAAGCCGACAAAAATGAAGGATTAGAAAAAAAAAGAACTTTGATCTTCTCTTGTATTCGTCTCTACTTTTTGTTGTTTGTCTTTGCGCATCATCTACTCGTTTTATGTTATCCTATCATTAGATATGATTATTTCTCATTTAGATATTCATGTTCAACAAGCAAAAAAGACAAGCTCTAAGCTTTTCTCAGTCTCATCAAAAGCTTGTGTTTCTCATAGTTTCGATCTAAATAAAAAAAATGAAAATTTATCTGATGACTTGATTTATTCTGTTAAAATCATATCCAAATCAATTCAATAAAAAAAAGATAACATGCTACTATATCACAATTATATTCAATGCAACTTGGCATTATGTACATGAAATTAAAAAGAAAATTGTTTAATTGAAGTATTTTCGTGACGAAAATAAAGCTTTCAGTGTAATATGATATAATCATTTTGCACAAGTGTTGATGTTGATTAATCAAATTGAATTTAACTATTTTTATATTCTATGATTTGAATGTCATTAGTCATAAACTCGTTAATGTTTGTTAGGGTGCACAAGTATTAAAAGTCATGCATAGGATGTAATTAATAATGTTAGTGAAAGTGAACAATTCACCGTAGTTCTTCTGTTGGAATTTTTCTTTGGGCTCAAAGAAAAGCTCAAATAGTAGCCGAAATCAAACTGGTGTTTGATCTTATGTAAAAAAAACATATCGTTGTTCTTCATTAAAAAAATTACTATTGGCATAGAATTTTATTTTCAAAAATAAAATAAAATCTGACGAAAAGTTTTTAATCACTTTCTTTTGTTGTTTTCTAAATAAATAAATATTCATTTAGCCAATTATTTTCTTGGCTTATATAGTGAAAGATTTTCTTTCATGTAAAACTAAAACTTAATCTGAACGATTTGAATGTCTTATATAAACAAAGGAATAACATATATAGTTGTCAATGATGAATTTTTTAAAATAAATGAATAAAAAAAAGAAAACAATATCATTAAGATATTTGATAAAAAGAGAATTAATTTATAATTGATTTTGATAAGATAATACAATTGCGTCATCCATAGAAGCACAAAATTCTAATTCGTAAAATAATAATAAGCCTTGAAGTTAAAGTAGATGTGCTATTTCGCTATACATTCGGTTATTAGAAACAATAAGTATTTGTTCTCGTCAACGAGAATTGTTTTTTTTTCTATTCAATTTCAGATATTTTCCACAATGAATAACGAACAATTAATGTTAGAATTGAAACAAGTGAGTTTAGAACTATTTCATTAAGTTTATTCTGTGGTAAGTTTTAGGTGTACGAACAATTAGGGTAAGATCCCTTGAATAAGGAGCTGATCCAAAAGATGAAAAAAATACATGTACGCAAAAAAAAGTATCACCAGTTTGTTTAGCAGAAAATACGGAAGTAGAAGTATATTTGGTTGCGAAAGTAAAAATTCTGAATAATGAAATTTAGAGAATACTGACGAATTCTTGAGAAAGTACTTCCAGGAAAGTAAAAATAAGTCTAATCTTGCTAATTGTAAATCATCGTTACTGGAAGTAATTGATGAGATGTTATTATGTGCCTGATATCGATTTCAAATCATTACAGCTACTTTAAATTAGCTGTTACTAATTGAATAGGAATTGATTACAATCAACCTTAATCGATAATAATCGATTAGTACAGCGATATAACTGCTTTCTCAAATTATAATCGATTTTTAATCAAAACGGTAATCGATTTTAATCTGATTTTACCCTACCCAGGTCGAACAGTCCGGCCTGGAAACGGTCGGCTCCGGGTAGTTCCGTTGATTTTGTGGAAGCAGTACTCCAGTTGAAAAATTTTCGGATTTTTTCCGATGATTTCCGATCAATTCCTGCCGGAAAGCACTGGAACTTGGCAGCAATCCGCCGGGAAAGTCGGGCCGTATTTTTGACCGGAATACTGCTTCCATGTTCCACCGATTTTCGGTGTTTTCCTTTCCTGCAGGATATAGTGACTTTCTTGCATATTTCCTGCAGTATCCTACCGGATCCGGTGGCCGGAATGTTCGACCTGGATATTTTTTTACATGGGGAAGACTAAAAGAATCTGTGTTTTATAGTCTCTCATGTGAATTAGATCTGCTGTTATATTTCTATGCTCTTGAGAACATGAAATCAAACATAGCTAAAATATGGACCAGTTCAATGTTACGTTTTTCTAATGAACTGAAAGTGAAATAGAGACCAGCAAGCTTTGCAAAATATGAATATGTCACTTAAAATGAAAAAACTTTTCTCATTAATTTGAAAAAGAAAATAGAATTTCAAATAATATTTAATAAGTATGAGTAGTCTACAATTTTTCACACGCTAGTTGAATACGATGTTTCATTTTTCACTAGTTTCGAATATTTTAAGATTATATCTAACTTGTTTCTCTTACATGAGAAAGAAACAAAACAGATTTCTTCAAATAATAATGTGGAGTTTATAACAAAAATGGCAAGTATTGTCACGAAAGCACAATAGACGTGTGGTGTTTCATAGTTAATTTATACGGATCACTGAAATGATCAATAGGACGAAGTGCTAACGCACGTGTTTACAAAGGAACCTATATTGTTATGAACAAAGCAACATTTTGGAAACCACTCATTTTATATCAGAAATTTATTTTTCATAAATAAAAGAAAGCCATTGAAGCTCACTAAAACACGAATTTTCTGGCAAAAACCAGTGATCCATATTTGACAGTTCAGAATTTTATAAACCTTGATATTTTAACTAACTAATATGTACCTCATATGCTATCGAATGATGCACTTCTCAAAACGTTTTTCTCTGCGACCACAGAAGATAACATTAAATGAAAATCTGCCGTGTTTGCAAAGTATGGCATGAGAAAGATGTTTCGTTTCAAGTGAATATTAATATAAACTTAGGCATTCTGCAAATAACAGTCAGTAGACATCTCTATATTATCCATATGATGGGGAGAAAACCTTGCAATCTTACCAAACTCTGTGAAACATCAATAATGAACTAGCAATTTTCTTGGATATTATTGTAGCTACTAGTTGTTTTCCAGTGTTTTCAATTATTTGTCTTACTTTATTATTATCAGTATTTTCAAATATTTTTTCCATTAATATCAGAAGTATCTATTCGAATGATTTAATAATTTTTATAATGTTTGTTATCTATACTTATGCTACAATAAATGCAAAAATATCTTTTATGAAATTCAATAGTGTACTTCTACCACATAGTTTCAGCAGTGGACGATGGGACCAATTGATCGGGACATGGTCACATTTTCAGCAGAAACGGACCACCCGACATAAAGTCATACGTTTTAAGGAGAAATGGAAAAGAAAGAATATATATATACATATATCTTTATGATTCACTATTTTTCCAAGTAAATAGTTTCAAGCAGAAGCCTATAATTTATAGAGGAAAATGCTTCAACAAGGAGAAATGGAAGAGAAAGAATCTATATGCAAATATATATATATAGAGATAAATGCCATAGGTCCACAAAAATTGAAATTATCCTGACCTAACATTCCTTTATAAATATATGCGATATTTATCAGTTTGATCCCTTTAGTCCTTTTAGCCTCTTGAATCCCTTTTTAGATCTAAAGGGATCAAAAGGGACTAAAAGAACTAAAGGTAGTAGAACGACTAAAGGGAGTAAAGGAACGAGAGGGAGCAAAAGGACTAAGGAGAGTAATGAGAGTAATGGGGCTAAAGGGATTAAAGGGATCTAAAGGATAATGAGGGGTTTATATTTCTAAAGAAAAGTTAGACCAGGATAACTTTAATTTCTTATGGACCCATCATAGAAAAAGCTTTTCAGTACAGTCCCGCTCGGGCTAAAATGTGGAACACGCATATTACAAATCACTTAGAAACTGACCACATAGAGCGTTTTATTTTTTTCGAATAAGATGAGCTTCGTAGTTGATTTAGGAACACGATGGAGAAAAAAATAAAAATACCTGAATAAGTGAAAACGCAGAATTTCTTTCATTTAAATAACTTTTAAATACTTCTGAAATTTTCTAACTAGAAAAACGCCTACAGATAAGTTACATTTCGATAGTTTTATCTTTTGAAGCTGTTGGTATACAAGAATATTGATAAGAAATATTTCATATTTCTTTTTTTGATCTTGAAGTAAAATAACTATGAAATCAATATATTACTTCCGTAAATTTGTTTTTGTTCCCTCGCTTGTAGTATGATTAAATTTTCACTAAACGAATTCTTATTCTCGTTTATATTTTATTTCAATTAATATCTCTCTTATAATGATTGAATTATATCTTTATTTTTATACAGAAACACAAAAAGTCATCTTTGAACACAAAGCTAGTTTCGCAAGATATAAAAAAATACGCAGAACCTATGTTTGGTTTTGGAAGATTATTTTTAAAAATTCATCAGTTAGTTTCAAAATATGTTCAAGATTCTTCTTCTAATGATGATTAATAATTTACTGATGTGATTATAATTTAGTTAAATATTTCTGAAATGATTAAATGCTATTTCGATTTCAAGTTGATTGAAATGATTATAATAGTAACGACAGCTTTTGTTTGCTGCTGAATTATAAATTCATATATAGTTTTTCTACGATTTAGAATTTAAGAACTCTTAGCAAATCTAAGAAATCTCAAGCAGAAAAATGTCGTCCAGGCAAAAAATATTTTCTTTTCATTCTGTTTATGTAAGACGATCAAATATATGCACGTACATATACATGTTTTCGTTCTAAACATATATCGAGATATTCAATACTTATGACTAGAATAAAGAAATGACCCCTTTCAATATTGTTTTCTATCATTTCTATAGATAAATATGAATTCTTTGCCCCCGTTTTAACTCATTTTTCCTCTGCCATATTACTATCTATACCATTATTTCCATTCTATCAAAGAAAACAAAATTTGGACTGAATATTATTTCTTCACAAACCCTGGATAAAACAGCGCAATATGTAAGAAATAAAAAATATGCAGCATCCTTAACTCGAACCGAACGAAAACTTTTTTAATAGCACTCGTAACCATAATATATGCGTGAAAAAGTCTGCAAATAAAGGAATTTTCTTATTCCACAAAACTGTATTACTCCACTGGCAGCTACTACTACAATCATGATAATAACCAACTGCGTATTTTCCGCTTCAAGATACCCGTACCCTCCGCAATTATTCCGCACTTACCCGCGATTTTTCTCAAGAAGGCCTCCATTTTCACTTACAAAACCACAATCTCAGCATAAGATTAACTGTTAGATTCCACATATGACTATCAGAACAACTTTTCACCATGCAACACGATATACAGTACAGAATGGTCCTGATATACGGTGATATGGCATATTCATTTCACGTTCAAAATAAACCATTTCTATTAAAAATATCCATTTCTCTTTGAGATATCCCTTTATAGTGAAAAACAAATAATCTTTCCTGTAGATAATTTATCGATTTCTCCATGACAGTTTTAAGCTTCTGCTGGAATAGTGGCATATGATTCATATATTTCTGCTTGTAAATAAATCATCTCTGCTGTAAAATATCCATTTCTCCTTGACTTTGTTAGGGGTAAAGTATTTCTGCTGGTTATTGAACCATTTCACGATTTTACGGGATGTTGTCCACCCCTCTAATAACCATGATGATTGTGGAGAAGACGTCATTCAATAGTATACGAAATGTGATATGTGTGTTCTGCGTGAATTTATTCATACGATACGAAAGATTAACAGACATAATATTTATTATGGAGGGTGATCGTTGAATTTTTTATTTATCATAATATTGGATTATCACTGAGGGGGCGGTTGCTATTAGCTTATAAAAAGCAATATCTTAGTACAGAGTAAATCAAAATAAAGCAAATACTCAATGTTATAGAGATCACTCGAATACGTACAAACGATCAACGAGTGTATTGCAAAAATCAAATCAAAAGAAAAATGGCTTCTGTCAGACCCATATTAGTTATTGTCAGTGGTTGCATTATGATATTGGCTTTTATACTTTACGTCGTCAGTAATGCTCTACCAGAATGGTATGAAATATTCTATTTAGTTTTCTCTTTCTATTGAAACTTTTATATGCCCTGAAAATACAGTATACATATCTATTGTTGAAGGTTGCAAAACAATATAAAATTATTCAATAGTAGTCACATAAAATCGAGTATAGAAATTTATGAAGTTATTTAAAACAGATAACTAACGAGAAAGTTTCGTATTTATGATAGAGACAAATATTTTCTGCGTGATGTCAGCGCAAGATTTTTCTCAACTTTTATAAACTGTGTGAATCTGATCGTTGTAAGTTTTTTCACATTCAACTATTACAGATCATTGCTAATCAAAATTGTACTGATTTCATTTTTATTTCTATTTGGATCGATTTATACACACTATAGTTACGATATAGTGAAATTTTTAATTGTTATTACTTCATACAAAAGAAAAATATTTACTTCAACTTCAAGCGATTGTTCTATTTTGAATTAATAGCAATAGAGTGTGAGATAAATCATATCTTATTCAGTTTATTTCAAATTTTTATTCAAATTGAAGTTATTCTCTATTTATTTTCATATCAAGTTTTATTTCAATATTCACGTTAATTCTTCGGAACTCTTAAAAAAAGGAAATATATATTTATATATTTTAGGGGTGTAAGTGAATCTCAATCGGAAAAAGCCACTATAGGTCTATGGCGTGCATGTATATCGATTAATGGACCAACACAATGTGGATATATCATATCAGACTGTAAATTATATAGGGGTCAAGCTATTCAAAGATGCCACAAAATGATGGCAGCTAGAGTATTTGTAACAATTGCTTGCATTCTATCAGCACTATCTGCAGTGTGCATTTTCACATATATCATTATAAAAACAGATGCGAATCAAATTATATTTATGATCAGCAAAGTTCTTCCAATTTTATCGTTTATTGCTGGCGCTATTGGACTAGCTGTCGGTATTGCTTTTATCACACCCTCAGATAGCATTAAATTAAGTAGTGCCACATTTGTTGATATTGTTGCTGTGACTATAAATGTAATTGGCGCTATTTTAACTGTATTGATTCGATGATCGATTTGACTCCTTTAAAATCCTTTTACTGTTCATCGCAATTTCACTTCTGCTTGTCAAAAAGTCATAACATTAAAGCGAACATAAAAAGTAGCTAATCTTTTCTTTTCCGTGCTTGTGATTAAAACATATTTCATACTAAAATAAAAGCCTTTTTATGAAAAACGAATTTTAGCTAAAGTATACTCTTTGCTATTCTAAGATTCATCACGAATTACTCACAAAGTTATGTGATTTATTTCGATTCAATTTTTGTGTAAAAGTGTTGCCTAAGCGTGCTATTACTATCGCATACTCTGAAAATAATGTTACAAATGTTTAAGAACTGAAATAGCTATTGACATATATCGTGCTCATATGTGGGTGTGTATCATAGACAAGGTTCAACAGGCAAATAGAATGATTTCAATATATGAACTTGAACTATAGGTGACATATGTTAATAAGCAATATTTTAGAATCAATTTTTAAAGCCTTTTAAATATTGTATTTTACATAACATGAATTGTAGTTTTCTTCAAAAGCTAGTAAAACTCTATAACATTGGATTGAATTATCATATTTCTTAATCATTCGTCTATTCAAGGATGCATATATATCAGGCATACAAAATTCTTAGAAAATACTAGATTTTATTAAAGCTATCACATTTTAGAATCGTTTTTCTGATAACATATATAGTACAAACAGAACCCCCAACACTACTGTATGCATCAGCCTAATAGAAAATCGATTTCCCCAGTAACTCAAGGGTCTTGACATTTGAATTGGTTTTAAAAGTTTGAATAGAATTTTCGAGTGAATTGATTTTGAATCTATTTTGAAATATTATAAAGTTCTAAATTTTATTTTGGCGTAGGAAAAGTTTGCTGAAGATATCTCATTATATTAGTAATATTAATATTCCATTGTTTTCATCTTCGATTTGTTTAACTCAGCGTCTGCCTATTGTAACTGAAAGCGTCTTTGTTCCTTTTTTGGAACTCTACACAGGAAATGAAATGGAACATGGACTATATAGACTATACTTTATTTCTCATTTCAAACTGTATTGTGAGTTTTTACGTATGCCTACAAGCTAATTCATTGAGAGCATCTAATTTACATTGTGTTAAAAATGCATTCTATTTCAAATCATCGTAAGGAATAGGAATAATTGCATCGATTTCTAAAAGTAAATATATGCACAACATTAACAAAAGTTAGCGTATTAATTTTAGTTACTACAGCATTGAACAGAGTTGGTAGTTGATAATGAGTACGAGTATGTTCAAGAAAGAAACGAAAAACGTATCGAAAAACGAGATTATTTTCACATTCGACTAGTATCGATGAAGTAGGTTTATTCAGATATTGTTTAGATGAAATTTGATTAAGATTCATGGCAAAAAACTCTTCTACAACTATGATTATTGTTTAAACACAATATTTGCATTGATCTTCTTCTAATATACGCATATATGTATATATATATATATATCATGTTCAAGTTGAATTGCACCATATATGAACACATTTATTCTTGTCATCAAATATTAATTATGGAGATAATCGACTAATGGTTCTTTGAACTTGAAAAAAAATTTCTTGGTCAATAATTGATCAACCTATAGAATAAGAAAACATTCGCGTTCGATGCAATAGTTGAATAGAACAATCTCCATCGAAATATTCTGAGAACCGTTCACGAAAAGTATGCAGAGCATTATTACGATCATGCTCATGTATTCATTTAGTGCCAACATCAAAACGGGAAATTCAGTGATTAGTAAAAACACGAACTTGTATTCAATTACGTGCCTCTGAAATAATGAAACTCAAATCCGATTGAGAAATTAATTCAATTATTTTTGTAATACTCGATGAATCATTTTCAACAATGACAATATCAGAAACACGAAGGCGACAAATAAATAGACAATAAACGCATTTATCGATGGAAAAAAACTATCATGCCAAAATGATCTAATGAGAACCAATGGATGCACCAAAAACACAGGTTCAAGTTGCATTTATTTTTCGATGTACACAGCATTTATTGTGTCTGTGGACTCATAAAATATCTTAATACTTTCAATCAAAACAAAAGAAGTTCGGATCAAATATCAAAATATTGAAATAAAATTATAATATTTTCGGATTTCCTCTATATCAATGGCGCTTAATGCATTTCGTGGTCCGATCCGTAGATTTGGAACTTTCGTAATAATCGTGGGTAGGTCCATTCATTGAGAAAGCCGTTTTTGAATAGTGCATTACGGGATTGTAATCATATGCAACATTCAATGCATCAGTTACTTCAAATGAATATTTGTTAAAATTATGCTCGCTCCCTTTATAAACATATAGAGAGACAGATGAATATAAAATCAATTAAAATAAAAGAAATAATCTATCAAAATCTTTTGTTACCCTTTTGTACATTATTAAAATCAATAGTTATATAATCGTCACGATCTGAACGTGATTGTTCATGTCAAAAATCAAATGCTATAGAAAAAATAAATGTATAATACGGCATACGAATAAATTGTTTGTTTTTTCTTTACCATGCATAAATTCATGCATGATAGTTGCTTCACGATCAACACAGTATGATTTTATTTGTAATGTAAGTTGTTGGCCACCTTCGAAAATGCGACCCACTTTAATTGAAAGTATAAATGTTTTGTCAGTAGTAAATTATAACATACATATGAGCTACAACCACTACCATGTTTAATTGATATAAAATATTTATCATCAATAGTTTTAGGACGAAATCGAATACAGTATGAAGCTGTAGTTGGATTTAATGAAACAACTCTTTCTAAACTGCGCATAGCTGATATAATCTTTGCTCGATCATATGCATCTAGTTTTATTTAAAAAAATGCTCGATAATGAATAGTTTAAAAAAAAAAGAAATTCTTACCATAATCTGATGAAACTTCATATGGAACTATACCATTTGGCCAACAAGCAGATGGATCTTTCTTGCCTATACCTCGAACGACTGTAGTTGGTGTTAAGAAAATATCACATTCAAAGTTTCCCCCTACAAAACCAATAAATGATTGAAATTCTATTTTTTATTCATTTACCTATTTCTTCAGGATCTTCCATATTAGTATCAATTGCAGATCTATATTTTGGATAGCTACTTGCATAACAAATCAATATGGACAATACAAATATCTTTCGTATGAATATCATTTTTTAAATTCTATTTCTTATTACTTATCTTATAGATCTCTCTGGATACTTAAAATAGCACATGTTGCCTTTCTCATAATGATAAGAAAAAAAGGCACGCTTAACTAATTCAGTTAAAGAGTAATTTTAGAATTTTAGATGACCTAATCAAGCCAAATCAAATAGGAGACCATTCATTGAAAAGATACTGATTGATTCAGACTGAAAGTCTACTACAAGTATTTCAGTAATTCCCCATTTGGTTATTTCAGTTCATTTCATATGAAAAACTTCAACTTAAATTCGATTAAATTAAAAGTAAAAGTGTAAAACGATTATTCTGTTCTGAAATGAAGATTAATAAGGACATTAAATATAGCAGAATTGAAATTCATGTTATCGAAGTAGTATAACAATTTATAAGCAGTAATCGAAAATTAAAAATTCAACTATTTTTACCATTTAAATTTATTTCTTTCTCAAAAGGATCACTTTCTAATAGAAAATTCTCCTTACTTAAATTTTTTTAAATAAAATCTCCATGTACTTTTGTTTAATATTGAACTTGTAAACTAGTCCGCATGCATTATATAATACAGAGCGAGTACGTACAAAAATGATAAATTCAATACCATCTCTTATGTTGCCTGATATAATATACATTACCTATTCGACTTTGTCTATTGTTACACATCCACATAGAAAGGTACGGATTTCATTACACTACTGCATCGATCTATCATTAAATACTCTATCAAAGTAATTATCATTATACGTGTATGTTTTCATTTTTTGTGAGTCAAAGTTTTCTATTATTAATTAGTCGAGAAAGAAATCAATGAAAAGTTGATTTTTTGTATTAATGAGCCAATTTCGTTTCTAAATATTTGATTGAAGAAAAGCGAGATATTCGTCTGTTATGCAAAAGCGAAACGTTTCAATATCATCCAATAGAATAAGTTGCTTTGTTTTATGCAATATAATTTATAAAAATAACAAGATAAAATCAGATTTCAATTTCTGTTCCTTGAGTAATGACAGAAATTATAAACGATTAAGAGCAAGGAGATAAGTAAGATTAGTTTATATATCCTTTCATTGAATGTTAAAGAATTCATCTAAAATCAGTATGCATATTACACGATGGTAGAAATTTCCGTTGTATGTATGACATACGAGTAACGAATGTAATATGAATGTGTTATTACTAAGAATAGTCTTTCTTTTGACTTTATTTTCAAAATAGTATGTATATATAGACTGTCAGAAATTATGTTAATTTAGTTCATGAATATTTATAGTAGAATAATCAAAGAAGAGTATAGAAAAATTCGATATACAGGAATATTATTGATCAGCTTTCTGTTTAGATTCATAACAAAACTGGTATCTTTTTCTCCATGATCCTCCTTTTCCTTTTTATTCTAGTTTTTTTTCGCGAGAGCATGTCTAACATATATAGATATATAGATATCCATTTCCTTGAAAAGAACTAAAACAAAATTGAATGATTAGCGATGCTAGTTCATTACAGAGAGCAATCGAAATATAGACTATTCTAGGATAATTTATCGATTGATAAAACAAATATAAATGGCTAATTTTACTGTCTCGATTTTTTTCTCTGATAGTCTTCATGTCAAGACTAATAAATATTTTACATCTGTATTTTTTCCTTTTTCTAGCTCGATTGAAATCATCATTATCATCATCATTGGAATACAATAAACAATTTTATTTGTTTTTCAAACACACTGTAAATTGAATGGCATTATTAAAAAGATAGAACTTAAATGTCTGATTATTAAGATTTAAAATTGTCGACAATGTGAGCTAGTAGCGCTGATGGATTTTATTCGTCTTTTCAAACATCACAAATTCTTAATATTATTTTGTGGTTTTATTTATAGTTTCGTTTGGTTTAATAATAAAATTTTTGAACAGTCATCCAAATTTGATAAAACTGTAACAAGTTATCATGCCAATATATCAATTAAAAATATTTATTTTATTTTTGAATATCTATCAAAACTTCAAATAAATTTACTATTAATTGATCCATTTCTACTCGATTATCTTTTTATTCGTCAATTGCCGTTTCGAAAATTTCAAAAACATTTAATTACATTTGGTATTACCTACGATTCTATTCACATAATTAATGTATTATTGTCAGAGAAAAAGTTTTCTGTTACAATATCAAGAAGTTTTAATAATTCATCCATCGATCATATATTTATTGCATACAATCAACAATTAATTCATTTAGCTATTTTACATGAAAAAAAATCCTATTTTCTTATACGACCAACTACGGTACAATTACCAATCAATATAAATCTTTCATATGGCGATACAGCTCGTGTAATAGAACTGTAAGCTAGTAAAATATCAAAAAGAGGCATAAAAAAGAAAATTCTTAATTTTAATTTTAATTTTCTAGTACTGAAAAAGAATTTGCCAAAGATCAATTACCATTCTACTGTCCTAACAATGTATTGCATTTTCTATGGTTATATAAGAGGTCGGAATTTCTTGAATGTAATCGAACTTTAGCCAATAAAATGGAAAATCAATTTCACATCTATCAAAATCGTAGTCAAATTAATTTAGTTATTTTACCAATGAGAAATATTAATTATATTTTGAATAAACTAGAAAAAAATTATTGGCTTGCTGGAGGAACATTACTTGGTAACAACCTTTGTTTCTAATTTTTTATCTTTCCTAAGATAATATAGTAGGATCACTGGTGAATCCAACCGATCGAATAACACATTTCTACCTGAAATATATTGATAATACTGACAGATCAATCAGATGCATTCATGTTTAGCATGACAATTAGCTCAATTCTAGGGATTAATTCAGAGACAACAACTTGATAAAAGTTCTATCAAATATCTCCCATACGTCTGATATAGTTCGACGAGAAAAATCTATCGTAAACAATAATTTATTCTTCCATTTTACTGGAGTCAGAACGCTTAAAAACGAAAGTTTTCTGTTGTGAAATTTGTTATGAAAACTCAAGATTTTGCAATGTGTTTTCCCAGTAGTTTTTGTGATACTTTCGGATAAGATTTAAATCAGTAGCTGATATTGCTGATATAATCTATGCCATAGATTACAATTCCACGATTTTTTACTTCATAGAGAAAAAAGAACTATTTGAAAAAATCTAACTTCAATTCGCTACCTTTCTTTAAAAACTTTTCGATTTCCTAACTCATCTTTTTCGAACAGAAAATAAAGTAGAAGAAAATATTTTGATATTTATTTATTAATTATTATTTTGTTTCGCTATAAAATATTTTCTCAAAGCTTTTTTTCGTTTAAGACTCTTTATATTTTCTACAATCTTTCTACAAACAATGTCATTAGTGATCAATTTATGAGTGCCCAAAAAGAAGTGAATTCAAATACAGATTAAATTCATATTTAGGTTGGTATCGCCATTGTGGTTTCATACCATATACTCAAGATGTAGACTTTGGTCTTTTTGCTGAAGAATATGATGAAAATATTCGAAAGTATTTTCTTGGAAATCCTATTGTATATCTTTGGGGAGCACTAGGACTTGTAAGTTATCTATTTCTTCAATTTCAATCTAAAGTAAATGCAATAGGTTAATGATTCTCTTGAGTTTCGTCTATTCACGGGTCACTATACATTTGATTTATTTTGGGCATATCGAGAAAATGATCATCGATGGTGTGGCTATCAAGTAAACAGAGTTAAATATAAGCATGTCTCATCAAAAATGAAATATCGAAAGTAAACTATATTTATTTCATGTTTTATAGACGATTTCTGCCATTGCTTCCAAAGCTGTGTTCTTGTGATTTATTTGGTTATCGGTTTTCTATTCCATGTTCACCTGTTGATTATCTCAATAATGAGTATGGGTATGATCTATGGAAGAATCCATTAGAAAACAATTACAAATGGATTAACATAAAATATCAATCTACATGGAATGACATATCATGGATGTATGCAATACGTCTATATACATCCGAAGGAAAACTTCGTCAAGATAAATATGCAATTAATTGGATTACTAAACACTTTAATTATTCGTTAAAAAGAATTCCATCATATCTCAATGTTCTACCTAATGAGCCAATTACGCTGCCGCCAGTTTTCATAGGAGAAATTTAGATATTCACAAAAAAACGTATTTCGTTATTTTCTCAATGAATATTTTTTTACAGATAATTAATAAGACTTTTTCTAAGATAAAACTAAGCAAAATTGAAAATCATTATTTCTTCCATGCTGAATTTTAATGATGTTTGAGAAATTAGATACAAATTTTGTTGTTCGGCAATAATAAAAAAACAGTATGCTCAATTCAATGAACAATACAATGGGTTTAGTGCTATTTGAGATAATTTATTGAATAATTTCTTTTAGATTGCATTGAAAATAAAATGCGATAGACTGTTATTACTTGTTCATTTGCCAGGTATTAATATTTCATCGTAGATAAGTTTAAAACATAAACTATTCAATAGTTATTAATCATAGAACTTGAATAAATTCTTGGAAGATATCTTCAGATATACACAATGACGCACTATTAAGTGCTGTTGCAGTGAAAATTACTACATAGTTGTGAAATTTAAATCAAATTAATTCAAAATAATGTCTGATTGATAATTCAAAATAGAATAAATTCTCAAGATAACGAACTTTCTGTCTGAACGACTTCTGTCTGTTCATTGAATCTCAATTTAAATTGGTAGTAAATATTGATTTCAATTTTAGCTTTTACTCAATCATAACTCATTAGTCTTCTATTGTATTTTAAAGTTAGTTATTTTCCACCGATTCTTTTTCTTGGTGAAACGTACGCTATATGAAGTTCTCATGCCAGTTTACTTCGATTAAAAGCGAGCATGTCAAAAGCAATCAATTAAAAAACAAATTTTATCACATAAATTTTTTGTATTATTTTCACTAATCATATCATATCTTATGAAGTCACTCGAATTTTTATATCGATTATCTTTCCTTAGAAAAAAAAAAAGATCTCGCCAACATTTAGACTCTCAGAAAAATATTCGATAGCACTATAGATGAATCCAGAATCAGCTGATAGTGGATTTATAGTGTGTGAATCTCGATAACTATGACGCCACGATTGTAGAAAAATTGAGGTAAGAAACAAGATAGTTATATTCTATTACTGCATAGTTCATTTATAAAGGTTGTTTAATTTTATAAAAATAGTGAGAAATTTCACACACAGTTTTTAGTCATTCATGGTAATAATCATTAGTTTTTATTTCAATCAGCTAGTTTAACAATAGTAAGCTCTGTACTCATTGGCCATTCAAGAAAATGATCGAATAAAGATTGCTAATTATTCCACTGAGTAATATTAGCATGGCAACCCTTCGACGTCAAGAAAGACAATGTATTCAATTCCTAGTTCTGTCATCACAAAAAGATGGCGCATTTAGCTTATGTTTTTAATGTAAATGGTCTCCGTTAAGTTGACTGTTGAATTCAACACAGAAAATTCGTACTTATCAAATGTACCTCAAGTAATAAATCACTTAGGACTAGATGTAATAAAGTATTTTAGCTGTATTTCGTGAAAACATACTGGTTTACGTTCGTATTCTTTGACGTTGAGTGTATCTTTTCACTTGAATACGTTCTAATACTTATCAAGATACAAACTAATAATATTTTACTTAGAAGATACACAAAATTTCACACAAATTTTGACAATCAAAATAGTTTTGCATTTGAATGATTGTATTTACGAATAGATTCGGTTAGAATGAACACAACAGGAAATCAAGAGATCTATCATAAACATTTTGTTTTTCTACTAATCTAATAAATGAATGGTATAAGTCTTCTGCTTTATTGTAATCAAGACATTTATGTTTGTTACTTGACAGCGTTCAATTCATCGAAAAATCCAAAATTTCAATTGTTAAATATATATTTGATCTGAATTAATTTTTTGAAGAAAAAAACTCTACATATATTTATTTTATCTTTGTTGAATTCGATCTAATAAAATATTAAGTTTATCTTGTAAAGTAACCATTCCGTGATTAATTTCAATCAAACGATCTTCTATTGCATTAATTTTGTTTTCCATTGAAATAACTTTATGTGATGTTTCATTTGTCGTCGTACTTGTACTGTGTTGTACATTATACAATTCAAGTAAAGTAACACAATTATCAATTAATTTACGTTGCTGTTGTTTTATTTTACGAAGATAATGTATTGATGTTAATAACTTACGTTGAGCTTGAATGTATTGAATAAGCATATGCTTACCTTTTCGTTTTAAATGCCAAACTTTCCAGCCGAATTTAACCACATTTGCTGCTTGATTTTTATGTGCTTTTGCTAGTTCAATACTTGCTACAAAATTGTGTACATACTTTTCTGATCTTGTCAATTCCAGTTTTTGTGAAATAACAGCAACAAGTAATGCTGTTGAAAATACACCAATGATACCTGTTATAGCAGCGATACCTTAAGAAAAATATACTCATTTTGTTTTTCAATCTAGTCAGATTCTTTTGAAAATAGAATAATATTTCGAGAACGCTATCTTTACAATAGTGACTTCACCATATATCATGCCTTACATGCGGCATACATAAATAAAAAAATCAATAATTAATGGCGCTAACACATTCTTCCTACGAGGAATACAGAATTAAAAAAGAACTTTTTTTTCTTCTGTCATGAGAGCAATTCTCTTCGTTTGAAAGTACAAAACTGTTTGCATATGCAGACGAAATTAATTTTACCTCTCCCACAATATGTTGATGGTACAATATCTCCATAACCTGAAATTAAAAACCAAATAACATCAGTACATAGTAGTTTTTGAAAAGATCTTGAATACCGATGGTAGTAAATGATATAGTAAATAACCATGTAGCGTCTGCCATGGACATGTGTCCTGTTTTTTCATTAAAGTCACATGCTCGCATAGCCCAACTTGCAATGAAAAGTGCGCTAATACAAAATGTTGTTAAACATAATGCTGGCTGTTGTTGAATATAGGCTTTGATAATAAAAGGAAAAGTAAATGAAACTCGATTAAGATAACCAAGTGATTGTGATGAAGCATCACGAACCAATGGTGAACGAAGCATTATCAAACGGCAAATGAGATATAATCGAAAAAACACTACAAAACAAAATCGATAGACCATATTTTTTTATGTTTTCTTTTAGAAAAATAATTTTATTGGTCATCTTGAAAACTTACTCGGTAAGCTAAGTATGACATCAATTGGTACATAAGATTTTGGTATATCGATCGCATTAGTTGTAAATAATAATGGTTGCATTGTTGTTGAAGTTATTGTTGAATTTAATAATATCGATTTAGTAAATGTATTTTGATGAGATCGATATGGATTAAAAATGTTTAAATTGTCTCCAATTTTTTTAACATGTTGTGAACTCCATTCCACAAGAAAATGGCCTGGTATCGGATGTATCATACAAATCAACGCTTCCAATATAATTAAAAAGATCTTTTTTTGTGTTAATGCAATACGCCAATCGTCAATCGAATTATCAACACAATAAAGACTCAGATCAATACGGTGATAATAAAAGACAAGACAAACAAGAACTATTGTTGTAAATGTTATTGTTGCTTTTACAAATAAACTAAATGTTGAATCTTTATGATCGACACGATTGAATGTTAATTCACATTCAATTATCATTAAAATAATACCAAAAACGCCAAGAAAACACATTAAATCGCCAATAAATCGACTAAAACAAAAGTAAAAGTAATACTTAAATGAAAATGTGTGCTGCTTTTCTTTCAATCTTTTTTACCGTTGAATATGTAAATCTTTTCGTTTTCCTAATCGATATCCAACATTAGCCATTAAAGTTTTCTTAACAACGTGTCGTTTTCGCGCTGGCATTCGACGAAGTTCATATTCACTAATTGTTATACTACTTTGATTTGATAATCGTTTCGGATTATATGATGTTGACATTGGTGTCATGGAAATACAACTCGATGGGGCTTTTGTTTCATCGCGCATTTCCATATATTTAACAACTGGAGTAGTGCGCGATGTTAAAGGTAAACGTGGATTGTCAGTTGAAGCCATCAAGAATACCAACTATTTCTCGTATATATCTACTAATTAAAAATCTAATAGAAGCGACATTGACACATTCGCCTTGTATTCCCAGGAGTTATTTTTTCGAAGAGAGCACAGAAATTATATAAAAAGGTCTAGATGAATGGAAAGAACAAAAAAAAAGAATATTAGACTGCAGCCGCTATGATGAATGTTTGATTGAGCTTATAAGAAAATAGAACACTATAATATAATAAAAGAAGTAGTAACAACAACAAAAAAAAAAGATGCGGGATGAATAATTACTATTTAGTTCTTGTAGTCCTACTTTCAAAAAAACGCTTTTTTAGGAAGATAATAATAAATATTTTCGCTGTTGAGACCTAACAAGCACAAAACAAAATGTAAATGAATGGAGAGAACACGGCATCAGGAAAAAAACTACAATAAAAAATAGTTGTGTCACGTACATAGCTGGCTGCTAGATTTTCATTATCATATGTTACTATTCTGTATTGTTAAAAGCGAGAATCGTGCTTTTATACACGCACATGCAACTACTAACAATAAATTGTCTTCATTAATATGGGCGCATTTACTCTTTTTCATCTAGTTTTCTCCTCAATCATTATTAAAAAGAAAAATACTTTTTTTTCTTTCATCTATGCATTCATATGAAACGTAATTGCATACCGATATTAGTCTGTTAGATAAGTGTTTCTTTCAATGAGGTTGATGTTGTTATTACTCTTTATGCTTTTGTTGAGACTCTTTTGAGCACATAAGAAACACGCATACAAGGACAAACACAAGCGCAAACTCGGAAAAGAGCGAGATGAGATGAAAAAATTAAACTTAATAGGGCGATACAGACTAGAACTAAAATATTCTTGTTTCTATTCTTATGTTCACCTGCATCATTCTCAACAAGATTTTCAACAACAACAAAAGAAAAAGAAAAGTAGAAAAAAAAGACTCTACTTTTGATTTATTTGACTGACAGCAAGTAGCTAATTGTGAAACTTTCTAAAATATTGTATTTTTGTTTCTTTTTAAAAGTTTTGAAATATTTATTATGGTTTTTAATTGAAGAAAAGAATGAGCAGATCACAGAAAGCGATGAAAATAGTTTAAATTATTATTAGCTTTGTTTGAGAGAAATAATAGTATGACACGATAGTTTTCTCTCTAAAGAAAAGCACTTATATTCTATAATAATATTTGCATGTGAAACATTTCTTAAGAAATTCACTAAGAACATGTTCGATAGGTTAGTTCTAAATAGAAAAGAAAAGATTTGAAGGATCCTTGCATTCTAGACTCTTCAAAGGTCATTATAGTCAACATGTATATCACTTAATACTAAATAACAAAGTTATTATATATTGAAAATAGTCAAGTAGGAGATCACACAAACATACGTGTAACTTAGAAAGGAAATCTCTTTCTAGGCAATAATAGCGTTAGTTTTAACAAAAGGAAGCCAAATAGATTACTCGCTTTATTTGTATTCTATTTTTTGATTCGAACAAATAAATTTGAGATTTACATGCAAACAACTTTCTTCTTACTACATGTTTATATTTCTTTAAAATTCTATTATAATCGTTTATAGCAATATAGCTCATAGTAATTTTCGATAAATTTCATTCAATATATTTAAAAGCAAGACAAAAACTCTTTTTAGTTTAATTGCAATTTTGTTTTTCTAGATTCTATCGTAAAGAACATGTCATGCAAAAGTAATTGATTAAATGGCGACTCTTATATCTCATTGAGAGAAGGATGTTAAAAAACGGGTCGATTACCAACAGATAACTAATTCATTTTGCGTATGATTCTCATTCAATTTATTTTATTTATCATCCTTTTATTGAAAAAATATAAAGAAACAGATCGAATTTGGGCTTTCTCAATATAGTTTACACGTTTCATGTAGTGCACAGTTGTGTAAAAAAAATATCAAATTCTACATTTTGTTTTCTTGTAAATACATTTTTGAACTTTGATTTGATGATCAGCTAATAAGAAATATTCTGTTCTTGAAAACTTTAGACAATTTACCGTATACATATATCAGAAGCTACCAAGTAATAGAGAAAGAGGCGAAAAGTTTCAATTTTTTTAAAAAGAAACATTATGTAGCAAAACAATAGTTTGTTTTTGAAAAAGACTCACTTTAATTTATTAAAGTTTTTTGAATATTTTGTATTGCAGCCGGCATGGTGATTCATCAAGTTCTTTCTGATATTTTATTTGAGTCTACAAGCTGATTAATCGAACTCGTGACTATTCAATTATGCTCATACATGACTTTTAACGCAACATCCTGTTAATTATTTTCAATATATTTTATTTGGTAACTTATTTTCATGTAATCTCTGTTTTTGTCCGTCATTCGCATACAATTTTTCAGTATTATGATTTTCTAAATCAGATCAAAATAGAAAAAATATAATTGCTGAAGAACTATTTGATTGTATTCTTGTAATAATAAATCAAAAACTTGTTTTCATGACATGGACAAGAAAATGATGATTGTTTTTATTCAAGCATCGTTTTATTTTTTCATTTCTATATAAACTAACACCCTATTCAGATCAATATGGAAGCAATATTTATTTATGATTAGATCATTCTCACGAACTATTTATAGTTTTTGTTGATAACAATAAATTCATAATCAGAGTGAATCGTTTTTCATAGCCACTGATAGTTCGTAATCGTCATTGTCAATTGAACTTTATTGTTTACCTTTGATAGTGTATCAGAAAAGATTCTAATAATATTTCACTTTGTTGTTCGGAGCTAACAACTAGTTATTAATTAGTTAATATTGAAATTCTTAGTTGATTCGCGCTTGCTGATTCTACAATCATTATTAACAAATTTCATCGGATGTGGTAGTTTCCGATTAATAGATCTTAATCGATGATCACGTGTTGACAAAAATATTTTCGTGACACATCACATATATTCATTCAACATATATCAAAATTTTGGTTCTCGAAATACCACCCTGTGCACCGTAATCAAAAATATCGATTTAGTCAAATTTTTTTGATCAAACGATGTCAATGTTTAACAAATTGAATTTATCTGTAGGTTGAAAGTAGACAATATTTTTTAATAGATATTATAAAAATGATGATTATGATGTGTATTTAATAAAGATATAGTTTTCATTCTTTTTATGATATTGGGATAGTTAATAAATTATTTAACATGATTCGAAAAAGGACGCGATCGCTCAGTAAAATGAAGCATGAGGCAGCATCCTTCAAATAATTATAAGCGCACTATACGTCGACGTTTTCTCGATTACTTGTGCATCGTATATTCTTATATATATTTAAAAAACACAATTCCATTACAATTTTTTATTTTGTTGAGTATCGTCGCTGGGAAACTGAGTATGCAATGATTACACAGAAAAAGAAGAAATAATTAAATTAAGTAAACAACTGAAATCGCCAATCTGATTGTTTTATTTCACGAATCAGACGAATAATGACTATTTCAGAATAAATAACTTTGGCTGAAAAGAAGAAATGTAATGCTTGGTTTTATTAATCGTTGCTAAGAGTGATCCTCGATGTAAATTTTTCGAGCGCACTAGTTAAGTTTCAGATGATAAGCAAGCATGAAATCAACGAAATAATTGTACAATGCCACGTGTATTTCGATTCGCGCCGCTGACAGGAGAGCGTGGTGAGTAGAAAGAATTTTTCGCAATACTTTAAAAGGAAAAAATATTTGTTTTATTTTGTTGAGTTCAAATAGAGAGATTTGAAAAAACAAGCTACTGTTTGCACTAAGAAAGCGTGTCTTCCTTAATAAATACAAAATTTGAATTAGTCCTATATCATAAACACTAGTAAAACGTGTTTAATGGCTTAATGTATGCCAAATATATTTTTTTTAATGAAAGAGTCGGATTTATTGCTATAATTTTCTATTTCTAGCGATGATGGCTACTGGTTCTCAAAATGCCTACAAAACTTCCGCTCAAATGAAAAGAAATGAACGACGCAAATCTACTTTATTTTCATCTGACCCTCAGACCGATAATTCACCAATTGATTTTATTCTTGTTTACAATAATAAAAAAAAAGATCATAAAGATACTGAAAATAATAATGGCATTTTTGCAACGATTCGAGATCGACAAAGAGAAAGCTTTGAACATTATCTTCAAGATGTACACGGTCTTGAACTTGAGCATGTGGTATGTAGAAACAAAATATCTAAAATAAGATAAATTTTCATTTTTTTTTGTAATAATAGAAATCGACTATTGATGAATCTGTATATGTTAAAATTCATATACCATTTAAAGTTCTTTTATCGACTGCAGAAAAAATAAGAATGAAATTACCAGTTGAGGTAAGATAATAAACTAAATTTACTTTCGTTTGATTTTCAATTTTAATTTCTTTAGAAAATATATACACAAAGAAATAATTCTTCAGCAAACACGGAATCATACTGGTATCGGTTTACTAATTGGTTTAAAAAACCATTTTGCCTTGATGCAGCATTAGTAAAAGATGATATTGATTATTATACAGCAGTCTATTATTCATCAAATATAAAAAGATTTGAGCCTTTATTTGAAGGGTTACGTGGCTCTAAAGATTTATATTTTACGCCGACTGAACGAAGTTTATTAACATATGAACTACTGTCAAGAGCTCATTTTGACGATGATGAGGATCATAATCAACTAGTACCAGTAAATCAACGACCAGGTTATTTAATTTTAAAATTTTTCTGTGTAATTAAGTTTTTAATTTTTAGCTTTGAATACGGTAGTTGGATTAGAAACTGGTCTAAAAAGACCCGGTAAGAATTGAAAAAAAACGTTTTTCATGAAAATGTAAAAAATTTAGAAGATTTTAAAAAATTTTCAAAAGTTGATGAAAAACAAACGAACATTCTGTTGTTTGCCACTGAAGACAAACGACAGTTACGAATACAGTAGAGTTGTTGAGTCTATAAAAATGAATCAGATGATAAAATAATAGTTCATCGAATTCTATCAGTAAAATCCAAGTTTAATCACATCTATGGAAATATCCGTGTGAAATTAGAAATAAACTATGAGAGATTAGTTCTATTTGTTGAAAACTTTTTCATGATGAGACTTTCTTTATTCAACACGAATAATCATTACAAGACAAATTATACGATGCCTTAACTTTGAAAGTATTTCTCTTGTAATTAATTAGACCCAATAAATTAAATTGTTGATTAACATAAAGAAGTCTCATAAGAAAGTGAATTTTTAAAATCTTGTGTGCAAAACATTATTGAGTTTTTATATAACAAGGCAAAAGTATTATTCTGTACAGATTTATCCATCGCAAAATACTACATTGTCAAAAACAGTAGAATATTGGAGAATTAGATAAGAATGTATGATTTAAAAAAAAAACATTATCGAAAGATTAAAATTTTTCTATTTCAGTAAATATTTTTGACAGGCATCATTAACACAAAAATTTTGTTCCTTAATAAAAAGTTTACATCAAATCTTTGAGTATTCTAATTTTGTGTCTACATTTATGTCAACCGAAATCGGAATGGATCCAACATTCAGCACTCGAAAAGAGAGACTCATTGATAAAAAATATTATACACTTTCTTGAATCTCAATATGTTCTATCTATCGAAGAAAGTCTCATCTCAAAAGTTTGTTTATTTAACTATATGAAACTCTTTATTCATTTATCATTTTTAATGATACTTTATTTTAGCAAAACTATTTTTTGGTTATTGATCAGTTCATTTTATATAATGTTTCAGGGATTTCTCGATTGATAACTAAGAAAATATATAATTATTCCTTCCCGTTACATGAGGTAAATTATGAAATTTTGTTTTTTCATAATTGATTTTGTGTCTTTTATTTTTATTTTCCTCAAGCGTTTAGGCGATGATCTCTCCGATGTTGATGATTCTAATTTGACTGATAGAGAAGTAAATTTGAATTAATCTTAATTTGATTTGATAAAATTTTTAGTTCATTGTAGAAATTGAAAAGATATTGGGCAACAATGCGTAAATTTTTTAAATTTCAACCGTTATCATTAATTCGTTCTTATATGGGAGAAAAAATCGCTTTTTATTTTGCACTTACTGGTTTTTATAATCAAATGCTTATTCTACCTTCTATAGTTGGTTTTATTATATTTATTTATGGTGTAGCTACTTTTGCTACTGATCAACCAACGTAAAATTATTGTCTCTTAAAAGTTTTATTTTATAGTAAACATTTAGATCTGACATCTGTGGGAGTTTTGGAGATAGTACCTATATGTGTCCAACATGTGATAAATTATGCCCATTTTGGAAACTAAGCGATAGTTGTTTTTACGCAAAAGTATTTTATATATGTTTTTTCTTCAGTTGATAATGTTTACACTGTTGTAGATTTCGTATGTATTTGATAATACAGCAACAGTTGTTTTTGCTATATTGATGTCTCTATGGGCAAGGTATGGAGAAAAGAAAGAATTTGTTTTTTTTTAAATTATTTTTGACCTTTCATATATATATATATATATATTCAACAAGATGGTTCATTGAATTTTGGAAACGTCGCCAAGCAGTTTTACAGTACGAATGGGTAAATGATCGATTTCAATGAATAATCATGTAATAAAGATTTCTTTCTTTCAAATATTTTAAAGGACTCGATTGATTTCGAAGAAAACTTAGAACCTATTCGACCAGAATATGAAGATGAAGCCAACAAAGCTAAATCATCACGTATCAATCCTGTAACAGGGGTAATGTTCTTGTATGCAATAGTCATCAACTAAAATTAAGATATGTATATATAATATATTTAGATGAAAGAGGCACATATAGAAATGCGCACACGAATACCATACTTTTTAGTTGCAGCTCTGGCTCTTTTAGTTACAGTAATTAAGATTTCGCACTTTATTTTGTTCATGAAAATCTAAGATAATCGATGATTAAGGTTGGATTCATATGTGCAACGCTCTTTGCTACAATTGTGTATCGCGTTCAAATGGGTTATATTTTTCAAAATACATCGGTTAATACGTATTCAGCCATTTTAATAACTATAACCAGTGCTATTATGAATCTTATTTTTTCAATTCTATTATCTGAATTCTATTATTGGATTGCTGGAAAACTAACTGATCTTGGTAAGAAATTTTCATTTCTTGATGTTTAATTATAATTGTTTAATAGAACGTCATAAATATCAAACGAGATACGATAATTCATTAACGATAAAAATATATCTATTTCAATTTGCTAATTTTTATTCTACATTATTTTACATAGCTTTCTTTAAAGGAAAGTAAGGATAAAAAGAACATAGAAACATTCTTATAATAATTCAATTTAGATTTGATGGCTATCCATCAACATATGGTGAACCAAGTTCAGGAAACTTTACAGAGCAGGTTAGAACTCGAGTTTTCTTTTTTTGCATTCTCAATCATCCATTTGGTATATGTTTCCAAAACTTATTCGTCTATTCTCTAGTGTAATCCTGCTGGTTGCTTCGTTGAACTTTCTATTCAATTTTTTATAAGTAAGAATCAATAAATAGAATTAATTGAAGAAAATCTAATTTATTGATTTTAAATATAGTCATGGCTGGTAAACAGTTTGCAAGTCTTTTAGTAGAATTCTTTCTGGCAACATGGAGAAGTTTAATACGTGCATGTTGCACTCGTAGTCACCAACAACCCAGGCAGCAATGGGAAAAAGATAAAGAATTAGAAGATTTCCAGTCAACCACATTACTAGATGAATATCTTGAATTAGGTGAGTTACTAATGTATATGTTGAATGTAAAATTCAATTGTAACTAGAAACATTTCATTCAATTAGTTATTCAATTTGGTTTTGTTACTTTATTTGTGGTGGCTTTTCCGTAAGTCAAGTTTTTTACCATTTTGGTGAAACAGAATAGGATGCAACCTATAAAACTATATGTCGTAGAGTTATGTCTCATTTTTACACGATCAAGCCCATATCAGGTGTCGCTAGTGTGCAATGAAAAAGTGTAATGCATGAGGTCTTATCGCAGCATATAGATTAATTTCCTTATCATAATAGTGGAGTTTTTAATTAGAACAATGGTGAAAAATGATTATCTGATATTGACATCCTCATACTATTAACAGTAGTAGCTGTGACGTGTTAGACATTTTAAATTCGAAGCATTGCAGTAATAACATTTTTACTTTTAATTTAATTATATAATTTCAATTTCACTTGTCTGTTGTATCCTGTAGATTAGCACCATTGTTTGCATTGCTTAATAATATAATCGGAATACGTTTGGATGCATGGAAGTTTTTATCCAAATTTAAACGAGCCATTCCATTTAGAGCATCTGATATCGGAATTTGGGAAGATGTCATTGTAGGTGTATCCTATTTAGCTGTAGTAACTAATGTAAATATCCATTGAAACGATAATTAGAATTTATATTTATAAATTGTTAACTATGGATATATAGGCTGCAGTAATTGCTTGGTCATCGGAATTTATTCCAAGAGTTGCCTATCGTTCTTTGGTATCAACAGGAGGCAGTTTGACTGGTTATGTTAATTGGACACTTGCATCTTTTTCTATATCGGATTATAATCAAACGGGAACAATGACATCAGCTGTACCAACTAACCTAACATATTGCCGGTAAAATCAATTCATTTTTGATAATTGTATTGTCTCTTTATGATAGTTATCGAGATTTTCGTGAATCAACTGGTCCATACTATGCTCATACATCGATGTATTGGAATGTAGCTGCTGCTCGACTTGCATTCATGATTGTATTCGAACATACTGTTTTTTTTACTATTTATTTAATACAATGGATGATACCAGATGTACCGAAAGATATTCAAGTTAAAATTGCTCATGAACTCTATATGGAGCAAAATGAACGATGGAATAATAAGGAAAATGAAGAAAAACATAGAAGCAACTATTCTCATCGGACATCAAATAGGGACGATGTTTCAAAAAAGCATACTTCATCTCCTGCTAACGACGATGTTAGTTCTCCGGTACAACGAAAAATAAAACGAATCAAATCAATTCGAATAAAAGTATTACCGCAAGATACAGGATGACTTTCGGTTTTGTGATGGTTATTGCTTTATGTTTTTATCTTCAAAAAAAAAACAAATCCTTTTTAACCTTGTTATTGAAACTGATTTGCTGTTAATATTGATGTGAATTTCATTCAACGATTTTATTCGAATGTTGAAATCGCATAATTGTACGAATCTTTAATAAATTACTTATATTATTTCAGATGAAATGATCATTTTTAGTACATAAAATATGCTTGCAAGAGTTGTTTGCTAGTAATATTTCAAAATCATCTTTAATTCACGATGTCGAAATTACTTGATCGACTCATAAATTAAGTGACATTCAAAAAGATATTCATTCTTGTAAATCTATGCTTCATATTAGTCGATGATTCAAGCGTTGAATGTAAACGTTAAAAGGCTAAACGGAGACAAACAAACAATAGCTAATTGAGAACAAAAGAATATTTTAATATGCAAGGACATGTTTATTCTCCTTGAATGAAAGACTATGGTCTAAAGAATCAATTCAATGGCAAAGCCATGTTGTCTTCATAAATTGGTAAACAAGAAAAATATTGCAAAACCTTGACAACGTGAGCGTCTAGTATAAATATTGCTCTAGTTACTCAAACATTTACTGATTATCTTCTAGAATCTAAATCTTTATTATACGATCATCGGTTTGCCAGTTAGTAATGTGTATGAAAGTTATTTGTGATCAATGTGGCTTAATAACATGGCAAGGTGAGATATATTGTCGGAATATTTCTTAAATGTTCCTCTTTGCAACTAAACTATCATCAAGGCAGCTATATATATATATATGGAAACTTAACTATGAGACTCGCATATCTTTTCTACCTTCATTATTCTAATAAGAAACAAGAAAGAGAAACATTTCTAGAAGCCAGTCTTATTTACGTTTTCAATTATGAACCACCAGGATTAATTCTTTTCCTACTAGTATTTCACGTTTTTCTTCAGCATCTTTCTATGCGTTGGTGATTTCTCTACTTCATAATACATTTCTCATGAATGAAAATCAGTATTCTATTGAAAAAGTGATTTAAATAACAACTAAGTCTGTGTTACGTATCAATTATGTCTGCAACCAATCTTCATGTGCTAGTATATATATATGTCGTAGGATAGATTAAAATCCAGTACAGTTTTAAATCGAACTAGGACAGATTAAAATTTTAATTTTTCCTAGTTCAGATTAAAATTTTAAAGTGAACTAGTTGACTTCGAAATGCATTTTAATCTCAACTAGTTGACTTTAAAATTTTGATCTGAACTAGGAAAAATCAAAATATTTTAAACTGAACTAGAACAGTTTCAAATATTTTGATCTGAACCAGGACAGATTAAAATATTTTGATTTGAACTAGTTCAGATTGAAATATACACATTTGGATGGATAATAGGTGAAAGTGAAGGCGAGCGCGAGGACGCGGGTAATAGTTCCATCTTCACTCATCATCATTCACCATAGACCCTTGTCGTCACCCCAACGCGTATCTTCAACCAGCCAGCCACGGATAATTTGACTAAACATTTTAATGTGTCCTAGTTCAGATCAAAATTTTAAAGTCAACTAGTTGAGATTAAAATGCATTTCGAAGTCAACTAGTTCACTTTAAAATTTTAATCTGAACTAGGAAAAATTAAAATTTTAATCTGTCCTAGTTCGATTTAAAACTGTACTGGATTTTAATCTATCCTACGACATATATATTCCTTAACATCTTGAATGTCATTTTTTTGATGTATAAAAAATTCGAAAACTCTACTTAGAATATTCACTTAACTATTTTAGAGGTTGAAATGTCTAGGAAATCTTAGAAAATTCTAGACTAGTCTAAATCTTTTATTGATATATGAAAAGAGTAGTTGACATGGAAAGACTAAAAGAATCTGAACTTACAACAAACACTGACTATTTTCCTTGAAAAATAAAATATGAGTATTAGAAAATATTATAGCCAGTGGAATTTCTTAGATATTTACATGGTTATTCTCTTTAGGTTGTGGTCGACATATTTTGCAAGTACTTAGAGATGTACCAATCGACGATAGATGTACATGCGAAAAGGTATCAAATCATATCACAATTCAAACGGAAGCAAATCAATTTTTGGACCTAGATGAATTATATTAATCATTGTACTGTGCTTTTCTTTTGTATTTCGAAGACAAATCGATTAGTCTGAAGTATTTTTTCTTCACTTTTACTTCTTTTATTTCAATATAGCTTTTCTGATATATAGTTAGTTTGAATAAATATAACTACTAGTAGGCTATTATTTTAATGTTTGATTATCTGCTCTATCGTGATTTAATCTAAAAGAACACTCGTAAGAGTTTTGCTTTATTTTCTATTGCAAACATCTCTTTTTGTAATATATTGGTAACATTAATCGACAATGCTTCAGTACATTATTTTTTGTCATTAAGCAAGTATCGACGTGCAAAATATTTGACTAATAAGATCTATATTCACCTTTTCGATGTATGTGCAATTATTTAATCAAAAAACAAAAATCACGAATGTATGATCGAGAAATGAATGTAATTCTTCGATAAGTAATTACATATCCTGTTGATGTTACAGTAGATTGTTATACTAGCTTTGAAATTGAAGAAAATTTGATAAAAATTCTTTGATGATCTATATTTTAAGCAATATTGATCAACAACTTATCTTAGGGAGCGGTGGAAGTAAAGTCATCTACCTTTTCTTGATCAATAATATTTCAATATAATTAGCATCTATATGGATAAAAGTTTTTACTGATAACTAAATGACGAGAATAGTAAAAAAAGGCTGTTACTAGTGAAATATGGACGAATTAAATCATTTACAATATAGAGCATCGATATAATAGTTTAGAATTTTAGCTGTTATGCTGGGTACTGCATGTGATACAGCAATTCAAAATAATAGTGCATATAGAATAAAATTAAGCTAACTGTTCGTTGAAAATCGATATTTTATTAGCATCTGATTATGCAATAGAAATTAATGAAATGAAAATGATACAATAATCATACATAAATATGAAGAAATTCATCGAGGTTTTGATAATTTAGTGCAAACAAAATGATGCGGATATTGTTTTAACATTGAGTGTATTCATTAATCATTAACAATTCTAGTTCATAATTAAATAAACCTGCAATTTAACATTTGGTTTCCTTTTACATCGAATCAGCGCATTTTTCTAAACATAATTACAGACTGTTTAATAAAACTTTGAATACATAAAATTCTACATTCTGTGTGATGTATGTTACTTAATCAACACGGATGTAGTCAAAATGAGCAGAATTCTAAATGGATATGATACACTCAATAAGTTGACATGCAAGAATAGATACAAGAAGTCAAGCTATTTTGCTGAAGATCTTTAAAAAAAAGTACTAGAATAGTGATATGATTTTTTTTTCGTATAAGAAGATTCTGATTGGTTTCACTAAATTAAAATAAGAAACATTAGCACAATATGTTATATGAAAATTTTCTTATATTTATTTCAAGAACAATTGACTATGATATAGAAAGAATGTCTTTTTTTTGTTCGCCTATTATTATTATTATTATTATTGTTATTCTAACTAATGTTGCCACATCTGCTGCTTTCTTCAAATATCATATCAAATTGTATCTCTGAGAAAATTTGTTATATTATGGTAAATAATTTCTTCGAAATAGTGAACGAAAACTACTACTGAAATCTCATGGTATTCATGACTTCTCTTTATTCCAATGGAAGATTAAAACCATTGTTGGTTTTTACTGATTAAGAGAAGTCGAAAACCTATATTATTCCCTCTTTTTTGATAAATTTCTTTCTAGCATATCCTGATGTGGGTTTGGATGTCTGTATAAATATCAGTGATCGGATAGACTCATTTTCTGTTTGGAAACCGAATGCAAAAATACTCAAAGACAAAATATTCTATCTGTAACAGATACATATTTTAGTCGTGCCAACTTGCACAACATTCATAGATTTGATATTTTTAGAAAATCAAAATGATCAGAGAGAAAATATATCCGACAGTTCTATCTTGGTATTTATTTAGATATCTTTCTGCACATTTCTATGAAATAGATATTATAGGTTAATCTGAAATTTTCACCTGAATTCATCAAGTTTAAGTTCAGAAGCTGTTTTAGTATCAAAAATATATTTTCTGCCCTTTGTGTCGCTTTTTAAAAGTTACTTTGTGCCTGTCGAGTGTCAACACATGGCAACACTATTCTCATCATTATTTTAAAACAAAAAGGAAACTTTTTATGGATATCTGTAACATCTGCAACAGACTTCAATGTGCTGTCAGATGTTCACACAAATTTAGAAACACATTATTGAAACGGAATATTTTCGGTTGAGTAAAAAGATGGAAGATCTCTTTCCACGTTTCCTTACAATAAGGTTGTTTAGCACTTTTACTATGGATAGTTAATTTTATACTCTCTATGTTATCGTCAATTGCTTCTAATTGAAATCTAACAACAAATAGTTTATTACAATACTAAAAGCGACTTTTTACACAAAGGTAAAGTTTTCGAATTGAAAAAAATGGAAAAATGCGCTCGTATATTCATTCAAGCCTAATAATAATACACATTCGATATTTATCACGATTTTGCATTACTGAATTTCGCAGCTAAAGTAGAATGCTTCATTTTTTTCATTTTCGTCGTCGCATATCCATCAAATATCTATTTTCAGGTGTATAGAAAGGTATTGTTTTTCCCAATACTAGTCGTAATTCATCAACCAATCGACACCAATTCGATGTTAATGTACCAGCATGTAAATCTGCATTTGCTTCAATAAATAAATCAGTAAGAAATTCTAATACAATTTTCCCCCGTGGTTCACTTCCCATATGAACTAATGATGCAAAGACAACATTTCGTTGCAGTTTTATACTTATTAATTTATAATAACCTTGTTTTTCTTTATTGATTTGAATAAATTCATTAAATACTTGTTCATCTTCTGAATTTATATAAACTGTCGATATATTCGCTCGGCGAGCATCTGCATCAAATAAATCAAAATATTGTTTTAATGCATACGCTTGAGACATTTCTCGATTTCGAACTTTATCTGATCGACGCACATATAAAGCAATATATGGATGATGAAGATCAATTGAGGGTGGCGTAAACTGTTGTGATATGACATTCTGTATATGAGTTAATGTTTCAGGTTTAAATCGCATTAAATAAAATAATAATTGGGTGCGATACCAATTAAAAGTTCGATTTTGAAATATAAATGGCAGAATAGGTGTAGGCCAATGACCTCGATTAGCATTAATTTGAATTATTTGAGTAGCAGCGCCTTTAGATGGAATTGAACAATTAGTTATGGGAAGAAAAACACAATCTGGAGTACTTGATGTACAAGATCCATACAGCTAAAATTAAATTAAGTATTAAGAATTAGTCGTTATTTTATGGTCAACTTCTAGTACTGATTCGAGTATTGGAATACTCATTTTTATAAGTAATTAGGAAATCCTACATAGTATAAATTTTTCTTCGTCTAGTCTAATTTACTCGATGAAACTAAGTTAGAATATTTTATTTACTAGTGTAAAAATAAACTCAAAATTTTGAATAATTAATGAATGCACTACGTTGAAAGTACTCGCTTTCTAAATACTTAGTAAGTGATTGGTAGGGTGCCTGCTATTAGTATATCAAATAATCGTAATTGAATATCCTACTAAGAATTCCCTTAATAAATCGGGCAGTTATCACAAGTTTTTCTGACTAATAGCTACCCAGTTTGCATCGCATTTCATGAAAATCTTTTTCAACAAACTACTAGATTTCATACTGTGCATTATTTTTTAGTCAGCCTATAAAACTGTATAAATTATCTCAAGATCCGTGAAGTATATGAGCAACAGGACTTTTTGAACTCCATAGATTGACTAGATTATTATTTAGGTTCTATTGAAATATAAGCAATATATATTTTACCCAATTTCCTGGAACTTGATACACAGCAATTCTATTATCTGCTAATGCCATACCAAATGCCCATACAATTTGATGAACAGTGGATCCAAAACCGGACCAAGCATAATTTTGAATAATAGCGAAACGTTTATCCGTACAGTTTATCGGATGCTGATGTTTGTAAAGCCAAGATTGCGCTTCTAGTGTATTTTGTATCGAATATTCATTTTCTGCTGAATGATTACATGTATCAATTTTATCAATTTTCGGTCCACCAGAATACTCTACAGTACGGCAAGGTAGAAGCTTTGCTAGACGAAAATAATTTTCATCAGCTAAACGCATTGACCAGAGGTGCGTGAGATTATATCCAGGATAACGTGGATTTATCGATTGTTGAGGTTTTCGCGATAAGTTTTGGTTTAATTGTATGTTTGACGAAAATAGAAGATGAATTTTATTCTTTGAATCACTCAAACCTGAACCGAGAAGATAACCAAGTGCAAAAACCACGACGAACGCAAAAAGAATCAAAAGACTTCTAGTGTTGGTCGTCTGTAATGGTCCATTACTTTTGAAATAGTGCATTGTCAACGATGAATTAAAGATTTATTTGATGCAGATATTTTTATAAAACTATCTCTCTGACATCATTTCAACTTGTTATTATTTTTAAGATAAACTTTCAAATAGTTGGTCTGGAAATAATTTTCATTTAGATCAACATTTATGTATATGCTACAATCTAGAGAACAAAAAAAAAGATAAGAACATTAAATATTCGTATTAAGAAAAATAGAAATTTGAAAATAATCAAATACTTCACAATATCATCTTGCGAGTTTCGTTCTATTCTTAAAAATTCTCTAGTTTTATGAGAATAATGGCATAGATCTAGAATAAAACATAAATCCTGCATGATCATGCTTACTATTAAATACAAGCATAGTTAATTAAAATCTAACAGATTAAGTAATTGATGCGTCAAATATTGTTCTGAATTAGGACAATCATTGGCAGTGATCAGTTTTTCGTCACATATATAGAATTCTGCAAGAAAAAGTACAACATGACATACTTTGACTAGTGTAAGACTTCGGATCTTCTTTTACTAATCTCACGGCTGTAAATAAAATAAAAACTAGAAACACCCACCCAAAAACCTATGGTGAAAAAATAACTACCACTAATGATATGGAGTCAAGACACGAATAAGATTTGGACTTTTTCATCTTTAATATTGATATGCCTAGATTCTACTAAATCGGAAGATATAGTGATTCTATCAGTCTACCAAAAGCTTGATCAATTTCAAATTCGTAACTATTTGATTTCCTATGAGATCAACAAAGATCACACTTCATGAGTTTATACTTAGTCTGTAAATAGGTCCATATTTACGGATGAATTTCATTTTATTTACATGAAAACAAAGGCGCTTCTAATATTCTTCGAAAAGAAAGTACTAAACATCATGAATCTTTACTAGTTTCTTCTTGATTATATAACTATAAACTATTAGATATATATTTTATATCATAGTTCGCCTCGTTTAGTTTCGTAATTAATTCCAATACTATCTTTATTTACATTAGAATAACTGATGGAACACAATCTACGCGTTTTCATGGAATTAATTTGTTATTCTGTAATATATCAGAAGATTTATTAGTGTGTAAAAACGGCTAATTTTAATAGAAGTACGTTTTATATAGACGATGTGATGCTTCTGATTGCATATATAAACGTGTACTTTTAATTTAAACGATACGATAGTATTATACTTACGGAACTGCAAAGTAATCTCCTGGTCTTGGTTCCTACAGGAAACTAAATTGGGATAAAACTTTAATTTGATCGCGACCGGGACTAAAAAAAGATGATCTCACAGTTCCTTAGCGATATGTAGGAATAGAATTATGTGCTATACTATTGCATTAATGCTACGTCTATCAGAAATCGTCACACACGAAACAAGAAAAGAAAATAACTGCTTTTGAATTTTTCTTTTTCATATAGGCTCAGCTGTTGCAATAAAAAATGCAACATTTATATAATAAGACTGACTTCTTTTTGTGTTCGCTTTATAAGCAAATATGAAATAAAAGCACTCATGTGATTACATTTATTTATCTTGCTTTTGAAAGATACTAGTTTATATGTAAAAGTTTTCCTACCACTTCGTGGCAAAAAACTCTGAAATTTCACGAAATATAAATAACAGAATTTTATTTCTATGCAGTCAATTACGAATAACGATTAAATGATTATGCAATGTATTCATGAATTATATACTATTGAATATCGTACCAACAAATGAGCTATTCATGATTGATAACGAAAATTCTAAGTTTGTCAACTTTTTTTCTCGTTTTGTATAACTCAGCATGAGTTAAATATTCTATTCGTTAACATATAGTATAATTTATTCACTATTATTCAGAATCAATTAATCACTACTAGAAGAATTGTTGGTACTTTGTGCAATATCAAACTTTTTTCTAGTGAAAATCAGCATAAAATCTCAAAGTGGAGTATTTTCCATTGAATAAAACAAAATGTTACGTACTAATTTTTGTTTCTGTCAGAGGCGTGATAAAGCTTCATCTATGTTAGTTACTATCGTTTGTTACTGTGCATAAAACTTAATTAACAAATCACGGTTTGTATAGTTTTGCTATGTATTCGCAGGCAATTTTCTGGCATGTCGATCAATACATATTAAAAGTTGAAAATTGATATATCAACTAGCTAATCATAACTATATAGTTGTATTCATTATCATGTGTTTGTTTAGACATAAGTTTTCAAATCTTAACAGTCGTCACTTGTGCAACGAATGCAACATTTCTACTATGATGAATGAAATCGAAACATACGTATATTATTTCTTTTCTTCGGGGAAGAACCATGAGTGTCATGATATATGTCATTTATATATTAAAAGAAAATAAAGACACAAAAAGATTATGTGAAAACATAGTGTCGTATTATTCTATACTATATATCTTATTTTCAAATGTTATAATAATTTGCTAATAGGAATATCACAGTAGTGATAATATTTATTCACTAGCCAAGAAAATATTGTATCTCGTATATAGAACGCCCTAATTTTAACTTTTATAGTCGACAATTTCTAGAGTAGGGCAAAAAAATAATTTCACATGGCACCGATGGTGAAGTAAGGGTTAACAAGAAAGAAAGAAAGAAAGAAAGAAAAAAAGAAAGAAAGAAAGAAGACAAATAGAGAAAAAATGCTTTGTAGCATACATGTTACGTTACTTGAATAAAATGTTGCAATCATCTCAGCACAGAGTTTTCTTTGAATTCAATGTTTATGTTAATGGATGGCCAATCATGATTATTCTTTTGTAATAGAAAGCAAAAAATACCAATTCTACGTAATCTATTTCTCATAGTTCACACGTACCAGACAAGAAATAACAGTATAACGTTCAGGTATCTAAAACGAATGCCATTGGACACACCAGTTTTCTTTTTCTTTCTTTATGGCAGTTTACCCTTACATTGAAATGCATCTGTCAAATAATAACCTATACTCACACAGGAAAAAAAGAATTTTTTTCTACACACCAAGAACCACTCTTGATACTTATATCATCCTTGAGCACATATTTTTCAATAAAGTTGCATAATGATAGAAAAACATTTTTGTCTCAACTCATTAATAAATTAATTTGCTGTTGATGATTATCTAAGGAATAAAATAATAGAAATAATCTTTATCATGATAGAATGTAGATTTTACAATTATCCAGTCGTTAGAACTAGCTAGTTGCGTCATTATTGCATTGGTTTTAAAAGTACAACAAATAGAACTCTGATGGAAGGAAAAAATCCTTGTAAGGTAGAAAATCGATTACGTCAAACCATGTTTTAATCAATGTAGCATTAGTCAGAGGAAAGTAAATAATATGAGAATTATCAAAATAAACTATTCCATTACACGACTGTACACGCAAAAGAAGATAGAAGTAGAGCACATTAGGTATGAACAACAAGATTTTTCTATCGTAATAAAGAGCTGAAAAACAATGCAAAAAAGGATTTCTTTTAAATATTTCATATTAGTGTGAATTTATTTGTTTCTGTATTATTAAAAGAATTGGCTTAAATAATTTTTAGGATAGTCTAATCTTCAATAAATTGAATACGATATGAAACGTAAAAGCGAAAGTATGTTTTGCTTTTCTTCATTTGTTTTTTTTTGTCACACTATCAACAAATTAGTGATTTGTTTAAATCTATCAGATTTTCTAATGATAGACTGTTGAGCCGTATTTTTTTTATGTTCTCCCTAGCAGTATTTAGTCAATCTACTATTTATTTCAAAGAATATATTATCTAGCAGTGAATAAAACTCCAAAACACGAATAGACCTTGCATAGAAACAAGTATTACATATGCATCAATGATGACAAAATATTTTTTTTCTTATTTCCAAGGAACCCACTTTTCAAATGGTTTAATGATCTATGACTGTTTTCAAATTTAATATATAGGATCAAAACAAATGACTAATATAATTAACTCATATTGTTCTGGCATAAATAAATATATCCTGTAATCATACTTTGAACACTTTCTTTAACAAAAAAGAACCTGATATTAGTATCATATAATAATCATTGTATCTATCATTTTATGATGTCATTTAAATTCTTTTCTACAGTGAGCTAGCCAAATATACTCATATTGATTGTATATGCATGCAAAATGTTTTTACTGATAGATGGAAAAGAAGAGACTGCTGAATTATAGAAATAAGATAGTCGATACAAAATCAATATTGTATTTTAACAGGTTCATATTGAATTCTACTCCTACGACTGTGCATACTCTCTTCGCGTATGTCTTTTTCGTCTAATTATAAAACTATTTGTTGTATTGAAATTTACACTACAATATATCAGATAAAAATAATGATTCACGGTGATTAAGAATTTATCAATAATTCTTAATTTTTTTTGTTGGTATTATTGTATAATGGCAGTCACTTCACTATTATTTTTTTATCTCTTTAAACTAACTTTTTTCTTGAGTTTAGTAATCTTGATATAAAAATATAGAACAATCTTTTTATTGGTTTAAGTTACAACAGATAACTTCTATTAAAAACATGAAATTATATGACAGTTAATAGAGAAAATTCTTAGTAGCATTATTATATGACGCATCCTTATTATCTAATAACATTTAAATTAACAAAAACAAAATTAATACAATCAATTAATGTATACCGATGAATTCTATTGCGAAACTTAAACTTAACAATGAATCAATTCCTGAATCTTCATGTAAAAATGGCCTCTCTTTAGCATTGAGAATTCATGGCCTTGCCAATAGTTTTATAACAGGTATCAGATATGACGCAAATCTTTCAACTTGATTGAGTGGAAGGAGAGTTCCATCACTGATACACTTTATCTAACCAGCGTGCTTTTCACAGTTCTGTTCAATTCTAATTTTTCCAATTGAAATTATCAATAGATCCCGTCGCATTTTAAAAGCATTTTGATCTAGTTGCCACTAAAAATTGCAAGTGATATAAATCTTTAGATTCACAACGTTACAAATACATTGATTTTGAATCCAAGATCAACCTATTTGTTGTAATAATTATATTCGTATTCAACCGCAATATATTTCTATATTTCACAGTTATGAACTTTACTTATTGACAACAATCAATGTTGGATTTTGCTCAATTCTGGTGCTACGGTTGGGGTTCTTTGAATCAGATCAAATAGGAGACAGTATCGATTGGATATTCTCTCACGAGTAACAAATGCTAAATCTCATATTTTTTTGAATTCGGCAGAATCTGATAATAATTTCTGGCAATCCAATCAAAAATGAACCTATATATCATAGAAAAATTGATAAGAAAATAAATTCTCAAAAGTAAAATAAAAAGGAAAATTTAAAATTACGATGAAGAAGTTGGTACACTAATAATAATGAGATTTTGAATATTCATATGTCAGAGAATCATTAATAAAAATAAATATAACTGTGCCGTAGGCAAGTGTGACGAGAAATAGATTTTGTAAAACATACTATATACTTATGTGACAGCGTTACCTTAACCATGTGCAATAGCACATGTTAATTTATATATTAAATATGACCGTTTTCTAAATACATAGATTTTAGTAAATAGAATGAACTTTGAACAAACATATAAAAGCATTAACTAGAACATAAATGCAAGCTTTACTCCCGTTAGCATGCAATATTCTGACTCTCTTAGATAGACATCCATCTTGGAATTGAATGCATCATTCATTGTAAAATCTTATCATGATAAGTCGATTCCTTAGAGATTCTTTATTAAATCTGTATATGCATCTCTTTATCTTTTTACACTTCGTTGCTATTGAATACCGCGTAACTATTTCACCTTTCTATATTTTTGTAATTAGTTAGTTGGCATAAAAAAAAAGAATCTACTGTATATATGTATACTGATTAACTTTTTAAAAAGGAATTCCAACATACCTGCCTGATTTAAATCTTAATAAATAAAAGGTGATGACTCATTAGAAGTTTGCGACATATATTTAAATATTTATTTAGTATATCCTTTAAATCGTACATAGTAAAGAGTAAGCCATCTTAATATCTGCTAATAACTTGATTTCTATTTGATTTTATCGAGTAGATACTAGTAGAAAGATATGTTAGCACAATCTCTGTCAGATTAAAATGTGAAACATAATGTAACTCATGCCAGTAACGACATGACTATTATTTTCTTCGATACATCTCAGAACTCATCTATTCATCACTTCTTGCTGAAACCCGTAGAAGTATGTATAGTAATGAAGTAATTGATACGTTTTCATGAAAACGCAGTAATATTTAATAGCTAATAGCTAATCGTTTTGCAAAAGATCTGTTACGGTTTGTATTTATCGTAGGGTAAAACAATTAAATCAACATTTTTTTCATTCAGTTTTAGGAATCATATGCTTTGAAGCTAGAACAAACATGAATAATTCATATGGGTTTTTTTCTGCTTTTATTTTTAGTTATAAACTAGTTTTTTTTTCTGAGTACGAAACGGAGTTGATTCATGTATTCGTTATCTCTGACTATCAACACGCATCTCTTCAAATATTTTCTTAAGTTGTTGATAGTTTCCTATCACAGATAGAGTTATATAGTTTTCATCACATTTAGTCGTATTATATCAAGTATTTCAATTAGATCAGTAATACATAAACGCGAGGGTAGATTTGTCTTTTCAACACCTGTTCTTTCAAGCAGAATTTTTTATCAACAGAAAGGAAGAGAACTGAATATTCGAGTAAAGCCATGCAGCCGTGTTTTATTTGCATCCATCAATTTGGAGATGCAAAATACTCACACGACCTCCGTACCATCAATAAGCCACGTCGTTCTTATGTCCTCAATCAGTAAGTGTGGGTGGGTGTTTCTACTTACTTTTATGTCCAATTTGGTTGCAACACTGTCATGCTAGAGAACATAAAAGAAAAAATCTGTCAGAACAGTAAGAAGAAGACGAAGGAAAGAAAAAGTGATATGAATAATATTCTAGAGAAAACGACAGCTATAAAAGCGGGCGAAAATAATCAATACACAACATTCAAACTCTTTTTTCTTGTTATTCACTTTTCATAATTAACAAAAATGCGTACTGTATTTGCAGGTAATTTGATTGTCAAATGCTGACTATGGTGATTATTTCAGTTTGTTTATTTGAATTTCATTTAGTTTTTCTTCTGTTCATTACTTACGTTGCCAGTTATCCATCGTTTCGTGAAGCAGCAACCAACAATGATGAAAATGAAAACAATTTTGAATTGAAACTCCGTTCAATATTAAATCATCTTAGTAATGAAAAAAATGATGACGAACACATGACACGATCTCTAGCATCAGGTTAATGAAAAAATTTTCATTAATTATGAATAGAATCTTTTAATGGATTATTGTTTTTTTTTAGAGAACAACTATGAAAGTGATGATGACGCTGATGACTACTTATTTAGCAAACGACAAGGTGGTCATAATATTGTTGATAAACAAAGTAAATGTGAAATTGAATGTATTTATACACAACGACACCCACAGACTGGTAAAGGAAAATCTATCAAAGACGCAGCTAAAGCTTGTCGGCAAATGTGCCCTAATACAAGCAAAAGACGTAGTGGAAATAAAACTGGTGTACAAAAAACCGACAAGAATAAAAAGTTCAATCAACGTCAATTATCTGATGATGATAGTAGCGAAGAACAAAATAATCAACGCCGTGAATTCTATGATTTTCTTTTGGATCAAATTCAACGAAATAATAATGAATAAATGTCAATTGAAATACAGAACTTACTTTAATTATTAATGAAGCATATATACAAATATGAATTAACTTCTTTTTTTTCTCACTATTTTAAACTATTTTTTAATGCATGACTTATTTACTTGCATAAATATGTTGACACTTGTACAAGTGAAAATTAGTCATCGTTTTATGTACAAGTGGTCTCTCTTCTTTTTCTCTAACAGTGAAATCTACTCAGTTTTTACGTAGAATCATTAATAAATATCAAATAACTATCAATGTATGTAAAGTTCGTAAATAAGAGTACATACGAAAATTTTATTATGCGTGCCATTGCATTGATTGATTTATGGAATGATAACACACAGATAATGATTGTAAATGACGAATTCATATGACTATAATATCAAAATTTGCACAGTGTTGCAAAAGGCTTTTTTAAATACGGAATAGGTGGTATCATGTTTTATTAATCATTAATTTGAATGGTTGACTGTAGTACTTGATGTATCATCAATAGGTTTTCCTTTCAAATGGTATGTAAAATTTCGTTCGATAGAATAACTTTTTAGAAAACACAAACACCTAATGTTATTTATATATTAAACGAATTATTATTTTATATGTTGCCAGAACCCCTTATTTATGACATCAGTGTGAAGCTAGCACGACGGAGCTAGCACGATGAAACAGAGATTCAACTATAAGTCTTCTCAGAAGTATTGCCGGCCCATAAAAACCAGACCATTCGATGCAGAATTTAATTCTGGATCGGATGGTGATACTTTTATTCCCNATAAAAACCAGACCATTCGACGCAGAATTAAATTCTGGACCGGGTTGTGATACTTTTATTCCCTGGCAATACTTTGAGAAAATTCTATCCGGTTTTTCTTGTCCTATTTAGAAGAAAACAAAGGTGTAGGTAAACATTTTTTCTAAGTATTGCTGGGGAATAAAAGTATCACCATCCGATCCAGAATTAAATTCTGCATCGAATGGTCTGGTTTTTATGGGCCGGCAATACTTTTGAGAAGACTTATAGTTGAATCTCTGTTTCATCGTGCTAGCTCCGTCGTGCTAGCTTCACACTGATATTTATGACTCTGTGCTTCCTTTTTTTGTAATAGTAAATGATATCATACTAAAGCGTTTTCATCGTCTATAACAACTGTTTCGTAAAATACGCAAATAGTCATATTTTTATTTACATATATCCGTTTTTATGTAATAAATGGAATATTCATGTCAGCTCGCTGTAATAAATCAATAGTCGCTTTGCTTGACGTAGATATTTCAAATTTTGGAAGTCTCCTGTCTATTGTAATATTGGTACTGATGAATTTTACTTTGAGAAAAGTTTTATCAGAAAAACAAAAGATGCATTACAATTTCTAATAGTAAATCAAAGAAAGAATTTCAACTATGATTTGTATTCCTATCCATCGCTATTGTACTTTTCATCAACTTGTCTATATGATTGATTGGGATTATATTAGTGAAATAAATTTTGATTACAAAAAATGAGTCGTAGTAATGCATGAAAGTTTATAAGAGACTTATTATTGAGAAGGATTGAACTTTACTTGTGAAGGATATCTCAACCAAATTATACGTCAAAGAAAAGTTCATCCAAAAAAACGAGTCAATTATTAGTATGTATCAGTATGGTTTCGATGCTAATTTTCTGTTGCATACTTAAAAATGTTAGAAATGTCAGAAGTTCAGGTAATTTAGATTCTATGGCAAAGCAACAGGAAGTTGTAGAAAGGAAAGTATGTTAATTAGATGCTAGGAAAATATTAATATTTTCGATTTTGTTAATGATTCACTCACAAACATATGTTAATCTTTTTCAACTTGTTTTCATTGTTTCTGAAAAAAGAAAAGAAACAGACCCTTTGAAACAAACACAAAAATATGAAATGATAATATAATAAAAAAAAAAGTTCCCATTAATCACGATAGATTCTAACACAAGAAGCGCATGATCATATGATTTGTAATGTTGAATCGATCCACTCATTAACCATCTATTTTTTTATTTTCTTACCACAATATATCGAGTACATTTTAAAAATCTAACAGAAAAACTAGATTCTTATTCCCTCTACTGAAAGGAAGGTATTACGAAAAACAAGTTAAATGCGTTCGTTCGTAAGTTTGTTCGTTCGTTCGTAAGTTCGTTCGTTCGTTCGTAAGTTCGTTCGTAAGTTCGTAAGTTCATAAGTTCGTTCATTCGTTCGTAAGTTCGTTCGTAAGTTCGTAAGTTCAATAGGAGCAGATGCATAAACTAAACTAACCTCAAACAATATCTGTAGGGATAGGTTTGACCGAAGGTAATCGGGGGTCAAGGAACATGACGGCGTTGTTAGCTTTTTGAAGTTTTGTAGGTCAAGCAAGTGTATAATGGATTGGGAGCAGTTTAGATCGTCGCATTTTCGTGATAGGAATTCTTTGTAGGGAAATTTTTTGAGGGTACCATTCGATGATGTTTATAGTGTTAGATGTATCGTATGGTTATGTGAGATATTATTACGAATAGGCTATAGGGATCTTGCGGTAGAATTGATTCTCAGTTTGACAGAGTAGCTGTCTAATTCGAGTTCGAACATAAATGGAGAAAAGAAAAGGTTAAACTAAAACTAAAGCTATTCCTAGATTTAGTTTTAGTTTAACTTTCCGATATATGCGACATATGAATACATACGTATGTACCCTTCACCCACACCCACTCCATCTTAAACTAAAACTAAAACTAAAACTAAATCTATTTCTATCACTTATTTTCGAATTGATACCATGCAGTTGGGTGTCCATTTATATTCGAATTCGAACTAGGCATCTCATGTGTATTCAACAGTGTATGTAATAGAGAATATATAATTAAAAATAATAATTGTTACCTTTTAAATTGCAAACAATAAAAAATGTCATAGACATATGTAATTTTAATATTAACGATAGTATTCAGATCTTTAATTGATAATATACGTATAATTGTGAATGAATACATAGAATTAGTTATTGACATATTATGTATAGTTTGTATTTAAAGTAAGAGTTATCTATTAGACACGATTGTGTATTTTAAATCGATTCATACAACAATGTGAAATATAAAGGCTGCAATCGATTTATTTCGACCTATACTGTTCTGTTAAGCTCGAGAGGTGTCATGAATATATGCTGTCATGATAATAAGTATGTTAGATTTGAAGAGATCAGAAATATACAAAGAATAAATTTAAAAATTTGTTACAGTATACGTAAAAAAGAGTCGGATTTATTTGAATAAAAAAAACTGCTATTTAAAAAAGGTTTTGAAATGTATTATCTATATATCATCTGAAGGTACATGCACTTACTCTCAAATGACGAGTAAAACAGACTTATACGTATAGTCAAATATTTCATAAAATACAATTGGATTAAAGTACACACTTCACATTTACCTCTCGATAAGTAAAAGCTTGATGAATGAATGAATGAATGATTTTCGTCTCGATCAAAGGAATTATCAATAGACTTGAAGCTATTAATGTAAGTAGTGCTAAAGATAACAACATACTGTTGTCGAAGTGCCTTTATTATTGTGTATCGATGTATGAATATATTAACCCTACAGGCATTCTATTTCATTACGATAAGTTCAAGTATTCTCTTTGAATAAAATCGTTGAGCATTGTTGGAATGAGTTCATTGTATGAACAATAGGAAACATGAAAAATGATTCTCGATGTGACAATCTAGATGAAACAATTCGAAGCTCAACTTTTGTAAGGGGAAAATGCATTGAAATTCGATTTTTTTTACAAGACGATTTAATATATATATATATATATATATATATATAGATCTATCGGGGAATGATGTAATCTCTTCAATGATATTTCCGAAGCAAATTTTGCTTTGTTTTAAAACTTTTTCTAACTCAAGCTTGTTGAATCAGGACAATACACATATTATTGAAGACACAATCATAACATTTTTTTTACGGGTTTCTAAGTTCTAAAAGAAAATACATCTTTTGTTAAACCAACTATTTTTTGTCGATGACCTGTGTAATTTAAGAAAGCTAGCATGAATCTTTTTGGGTACCTTTTTAGTACTTGTTACAATATCAGTTCTGTGAAGAACCATTGGAAGGTCCTCATAAAAAGTAAACACCAGCGGATTTCAAAATTCTTCTGCTGTTAATGAAACAGCTAAGATTAAGCTGTAAATTTAGTTTAATTCAATATGTATATAGAGCCAACACATAATAATTCAGAATATTTACTACTCGAATTATTCATCTCAGAAAAATCAAATATCAAAATTATGACAATAAATTAGATATTCACTCTGAAAAAGAAATACCGTTAGATAGATAGACTCAATCGATTTCATTTATAGCATCAATCTGAAATTCTCGTTTCATTACCTCAATGATCGCACTATGAATTTCAATTTTTGAATAAAACAAAATCTGTTCTCTTTACTTTATTTCTTGTTGTTTTATTCTTTTCAACAAAAGAAAGCCTTGAATACCATTGATTCCAAATGAGATTGCTTATCAATCACTAACTATAGATCGATCATAGAACGTCGATCATAAATATAGAACAAAATGAACAAAGAAATAGATCTAAAAAATAACAGACGGAATAACGATAAAAAGATAGAAAACAAACGACTTTTAGTGTGTCTAGAGGAAAAGATTAAACAAATGAATTGTTCATTCATTGAAGTTGTGTTCATCATTTGCATAAAAATGACTTTCTAATGCAACACTATTCGAATAGTGTACGAATTATTTCATCGTCGTCGTTTGAAGATTCTTCATCTTCTCTGCATGGTATATTATCAAAAGGTAATTTAGAAAAAAGAAATCCAATATCAATTGGTTCCAGTCGATCATGTAATTTATCAGTATTATCATTTGGAGCAGATTCAATAGATGGTGATTTCGGTTGATGAATATTATTGAAATTTAAAGTTGGACTAATTTTTTCTTCTACATTCACTTCCAGTTCTTCACTTTTACTACGATTTGTAACTGAATCTTGTTTTGAAATACCAACCGGTTGACGTGGAGAAAGAAATTCATTAGGTTTTAATGTTTGCCTATAAGAAAAATATCAATAGATAAATACCTTTTTAAATTCATACTATCATTTTATATTTACCGACAAAGGAATTGTTTTTGTTGTTGTTGTTGAATCAGTTGAGATTGTTCTTTAGTTTCTCTTTTATCATGCGTTTCAATACGTTCAATCACATAGTCAAGAATAACGCCAGTAAAAATAAACAATCGCTTAAATAATACAAATAAAACTGGTCTTTGCTTGATATTATTAATAAAATTATCGTGCTTTTGTTTAGTTTTTAATAATAAAGATACGATGAGATTTTGATAGCATATTAAGAAGAATAATATTGATTGCATTACATAATCAATCTTCAAATCAAAACTTGACGTAAGACGATTCCATAAGAGTGTTGTTCGATGGCAGAAATCATCACGAGGAATATGAGTTGTTTCTGATTTTGAATGCAAAAATATGCAAGTCTTGAATTAGTTTTTATTGGTAAAAATATTTCTTACTTCCTGGTACATGATTTTCACAAAATGTATACACAGCGTCGGCTACGTTAGTTACTTTATTTACTGTTACACTGGCCACAATAGCAACCTATGATGAGTTAGAAAAATTAAATTAACAAGTAATTTCAACGAAAAATATACCATTTGTTTGCCATCTTGAATAGTTGACGTCGTCTTTTGTTTGACACAGTTCAGTACATGGCGAGCAGGCTCAGCTTTCTTACTCAATGCAACCATCACTTCCTCACTACGCGTCTTCATAACAGGATATTTAGATTCAATCTGACGAATTTTTTCAGCAGTAAAATCATCAATTGCATTTACTAAACAGATGATTCAAATAAATACTAATGAAAACTAATATTTTAATCATGACCTACCAGGTCTTCGTAATGGTTCAACAAGAGAATTAGCAAAATTATATACGATTTTACTTGATTTATCAGCAATGGTTTCAACTAAATTACATGGAAATCGAATAAAAAGACTTTTATTCTTAGCTTTAGTGTAGACACCGTAAATTGTACTAGTTGATGATTGAAGACCTTTAGAAAGAAAAATCAGACCATTTTCAAAACGAAAAGTAATTTGATTTTACTTACCTGGTATATTACCAAGACATGAAAGAGTTTGAAAACCGAACATAATTTAGGTAAACGAGTAAACTCTACACAATAGATTTCGATCTCGAAATTAGATACTAAATATAAGAAATTAATAAGGTTAACAGTAATGTACTACGTTAGAGAGGTAAAAAGTAAACATTAGATAAGATTTATGAAAAGAATCATTGTCGAAAAATTCATTCTTCTAAGAATAAAATAGAGTCGAAAAATAAATTGCAATCTGAAATGTAGCTACAAAATATCCATGCGACTTTCTAGAGTGTATACATAAAAGAATAGACATGCGATACTATAAAGAAAAAGAAAGAAAGAAAGAGGGAGAACGAGATAGTCGAAGAAAATCCATAAATATACGTTTTCGTAATAACGCATCTTGGCATTATTTATTCTTTATTCTGCATAATACAACCTACTATCTCTAGAAATTATTGATTCATTTACTTGTTTATGAATTTTAATTTGTTTAAAGTTTTAAATAGGTTTACTAACAATAGCACAGAATTTTTATCTATTTGTATTCCAATGATTATCAACATTAACATTAAATTCTAAATAATATGTTAATTTAATAAAGATTAAAACAATCGACGACTATCGATTTAATTTCTTTCATTATCATAATTTTAAAAATAATATCAAATTTGCAGAAGTTGATCTTGATTATCATCGCCATAAGAAAAGTTTTGACCTTTTTATAGCATAGAATTGTTAGCATATGTTGTTTTTTTTGTTAGCTATTCTTGGTATTCAAGATAATAATATAGTATGCAACCCATTAAAAATAAACAAATCTTTTTGATCAGAGAACATGAAATATCTTTTAAAAGGTTATTTTGAAAATTTTCACACTACTAAAAGACTGATTGTACAAAAAACGATTTAAATTATTTTATGAATTTTGATTGATTTTTAAATTCTATAACATATATCCAAAGAAGTTTAATTGAAATTCAATAGTGATATTGCTTGCATAGCGAAATAAAAGCCATTTGACGGAATTCTTTGATATTTGAGAAAGCAACAAAGTCATTTAATGCAATTGATGATGTTAGATTTAACGTATCATTAGAATTTGATTCGATAGAATTATTAAAGATGCTAGTTCATAGATAATTAGACAATAAAAAAGGATTGAAAGTTTTGTGTTGTTTTAATGAATCAGATTGCGTATTTCTTGGCATTTGAAGACTTTAAATTTTTGAGTCACAAGGAAATCTTGAATATGTTGTTTTTTTTTTGACTAAAACTATTGATTTTAATAAGAAGATTAAGTGTTATAGATCATAAATTTTCTTCCATGAAAGTGAAAGTGAATGTGACTGAGTATACCTTCATTAATCGACAATGCTGAAAAGAAAGTTTAAATTTTTAGTCCTACGAAGCTTCAGTTAGTAGTCTATTTCTAGATCGAGTTTGATAATGTTGGTTCTAAACTGCATTTACTTAACTATTTTCTTATGAATATCAATATTAATGAGTACTCTATCATTGCAACACAAATTAGTTCGATTCATTGAGTCATACATAGTAGAAGAATTTCATTTCTTCCACTGTGTTATCATCTATATCATGCACTCATCATCAAATAATAAATTATATTATTATTATTATTATTATAAAGTAAAACTTCACTTAAATAGCCATTGACAAAGATTATTAAAATTTGGTCTCATTCATAGTTTTTCTTATATTGATGATAGATAAAACTTAACGTTTAGTTCATTCCGGGATATTTATATGTAAAAACTATTTGTTGTTAAAATAAAGAATCAAGAAAAAAAAATATCCAAATTGCTATTTTTCTAATAGAAACAAATGTATATATAAAAGACGATGTTCTAGGATAAAAATGCATCGCACAATGTTTATATTTTCTTTTTGTTCTAGAGTTGACAATATAGAAATAAACTAGCAGATACAACATAGAGAATATAAAATGTAGGAAACAAGAGTCAAAGAAAAGTGCATTCCATGCCAAACGAAATCAACAAAATAATAGACTAGGAGAGTAGAGTAGAGAATGAAGTATTTTTTTTATTGAACCTAAATGAAATGTTTTGTCATATTCGTTTAATTTATGCTTTCTTTTGTTTCGATGGTAATTTTGTTGTTACTCTGAAAAATGCAAAGATAATATGAAATAAAATCTTTGTTAATTTATACTAACTGTGCTAATAGTTGATTAATTTGATTAAGAACTTGTTTAGCAACATTATCAATTGGTATCTGAAAAAAAGTAAACAAATAATTTAAAGATTATCATTCAAAACGAATAAACAAATTCTTACTTGATAAACTTGATAAACTTTTGGTACAGTAAACAAAAAGATCAAACCAACAAGTGCAAATGTAAGTGCATTCATTGATAAACCAATATAGAAGAAGATGAAGAGTAGAAGACCAAACTTAAAAATAGAAATAGTTTTTTGTTATAAATTTTAACATGAAATAAAACTAATAATTATATTTTATTTATTTATTTACAATTATTGAATTTGTTAAATTATTCCATAAGAAAAGACTACGTGCTTGTCGTAATACACTTGTTCCATTTTGACAAACGTAATCAGCCAATGCTTGCGCTTGTCTATCAGATATATGGATATTAGGTGAAAACATTGAACTAAATTTACATCGATAAAAATAATAGTTCAAAATTAGTTGTCTAATTTATTTTCTCACTCAAAAACATCATCACGAATTCCACCAACAAATGTAACCATAACATAATTATATAATTTATAAAGACCAACAATAACAAGAAATGCAAGCAACCAGAAAGATATTGCAGCCAACGAAGATAAAAACATGAATGTTATAATTACAGATAATAAAAGACCAAATATAACACCAGATTCAACTGGATTTTTCCAATAGATAAGATTAGTAGCTGCAATGAATTTTAATACTAATGAAAAGAACCAAAATCTATTTATTAAACTATTTTATACCTTGTTTTGGTAGCATTTCTTTAACTCTTTTTTGTAAATGAATAATTGAATGTCGAGTTTGTTCCCCTAGAATTCAGTAAGAAAAAATAGATTTGGTCTTCATTATGGAATAAAAAAAGGAAAGTACGTCAATATGATCTTCTCAGTTTTTATCCGTTCTGTTATCTTTTCCTCTTTTCTCTCTCTCTCTCCCTCTCTCGATCAAAGAAAATAAAAACATTAATAGACTGATTTTCTGGATATATTTTTTGCTTACATATGTCGTTTCCTCCACTTATTTCTATTTGTCTTTATCACATATTTTTCTTTTGGTTTCTGCCATTCATTCTAGTGTCTCTGAGCAATAACATATAGTAATGAAGAAGTAATCACACGGAAATCAGAACGAATAACATACATTTACTTGTCTACAGACATATTTACCATTTAGAATTTTGTGGTTAACCGGAAGAAAACCGTGTGTATGTGTACTAATACATTTCTTTCGATTGCAATATATTTTCCAAAGCTGGCATAAACTATTCATATCGATATTTATCAACAGTATAGATAACGTTAAGGTCATTGTCGTTCGACATAGTCTAATTCTCTTTCGATTCGAATGTATCTTATATATAGATTAAAAGGTCTATTATTAGTCTCTTAGAATCAGTAGTGATTAATTTAACTTACAGTTTTGTAGAAAAACTCTTTTTGATTTTGTAATTATATCTTCTGCACGTTGCGGACCTTTTTTCAAGACTTCTTTAGCCTTGTCGACATTTGTTTCAATGGTTGAGCTATTTTTTTCCCAACTATGATTATTTGTCGTTGATGCTGGATGATAGTTAGGGTTTGTTGAATTAACGGTTGGCATTTCATTTGGATCATGTCTTATTGAATGATCATTGGATGAACTTTTATTCCAATCATTTGTTGTTGAATCAACATCATAATTCTGAGATTCCATGTTCGATTGCAAAGAAATTATCTGAAAAACAAATCATTTCAATCGCTTTTGTAATTTCATTTTCTCGAAACTGCCTTGATCAGAATCATAGAGTAACAAAGAATAAGAATACGATTCTTATGAAACATACTAACTTCTTATCACGGCGGACGAAGTATTCTCTTACCTCTTCTTTCTCGTGCCTTCTCGCTTCTGATTTCTTGTTTGCTGAGAGACATGCCGATGTTTTTAGTATTAACTAGCATTAGTCGATCTATATCTATATATATATAACATAGATGAAAACAATAAGAATAGATACAGAAAGAAAAAAAAATCTATCCATTATTCGACTTTGTTATGTCCGCTTTTATGTCGTAATCAATTTTTTTAAGACTGATAAACGATCGATCGTGATAGAACTCGATATACATCGATGTACAAAGAATAAAGAAAGAAATCGATATTCAATCTGTACGATGAACTATATATTAGATAATAATAAAAAATGGCGCTCTTATCCTTGTATTATAATAAAACAATAGTGTTTTTCTACAAGAGAAAAAAAAATAGAAGTGTACAAGCAAAAACAATAGAATTAAAGGGCGTATAGAAAAATTCCACTCACAAGCTAACAAAGTAGCTACATACCAAAACAAATTGAATCACAAACAGAAAATAGGTTCGTTTGAATTTTCAATCCATGTATTTTTTACGAACAATGTCAGAGTTCACATGTAAATAGACAAATCAGAATTTTTTGTTGGATTATATCTAAATCAATTCGTAAAAAGACGACGAAACTACTCTTAGTACATATTGATCAATTAAGAAGTTCAATAGGAAAATTAATACAAAAGTTATCTTAATTAGATTAGTAATGAATCTCTTTGTGTGTAGCAGAAGCTGACTGACTAAGCTGGCAAAATCCGTTATGGAACTCAATAGTAGCCAATAGGAAAAAGAGTCATAGCGAGCGATAGGTATATTTTAATTTATTATCAAGAATCAAGAATTCTTTTTTGGATGGCGCAATAATAATTATTCATAATACCATTAAAATATTTAACAAGAAAAATTTAGCAAATAAAAATTCAATGTATTGGACGTTGCTTAGCAACTGGCATACACCTCACGCCTTAGTAAATTTTATTAAAAAGAAAAAGGAATACTTACTTAAACGATTTCACTTTTATTTATTGTAAACAATGACTAGAAATTTATCTTCACAATCAGCTAATTGGATTCCTACATCACATGCGACAACATTCTCATCAACAATGCCAAATTTCGAAGAAGCTACACCCTATCGTGTTAATCCTGAAGGTGTGAAAAATTATGTTAAGAATCGTGGAAGTTTAAATATTGGTGACTGGGCTATTGAAGGCAACAGAATGTCAACAACATCAGCAACACCATTACCAATAGAACAAGAATCAAATTTACCTCAACCGAAGGTTTTAGGGCCTGATGCCTTACGAAATTATACAAAAAGTCGTTGTTCAACACCAAATCTTCTTCATGGCAATATTCAACCACCTGATCTACTTTATGGTATGCGAGTTAAAAAAGAAGGGCGCGCTAATTATGAAAAAAATCATAATACAGAAATGAAAACATTATTTGAAAGTTATGGAAAATTATCTTTACCAATACATTCGGTACCTCATACTCAAGGCGAGGTAAAATTTATACGACTAAGAAAAATTGCAATAGAAAGTTTCAAACTGATTTTGTTTTCAATAGCTAGCGACAAACCTTTTCTATACACATCAAGAAGGTCAAATGGGTCCAATAATGAATAGTTATGGTCATACTTCAGCCACACCCAGGCCAATACCACATGTGAAAGGTATTGCTGCTGAAATAAATCTTCAAAAAGGACTTGGTGATTCTCAATTACTTCAACATGATATTGACCGCTATACACCAACGCCAGAACCACACGTCAAAGGTAATCAAGCTCTTTTTAATTATGATATGGGTCAAGGTCATCATGTTAATGATCTTTTTCAACAATATGGTAAATTACAACAATCGGCTAGAGCTCCACCAAAAGTTAAGTATGATGGTGTTGAAAATTTACGCAAAGGCCAAGGTGATTCAATGAGAAAAACACTTTCACAATGTCCACCAACAACTCGCAATATGAAACCTCCGCAATCTGTATCATATTGGTCCTAATTATTTGTTTTTGTCTGTTCTATGTATTAATGAAAATTTTTGTTGTTTTAAAAGAGAAAAAAAGAATAAATCGATCGATATTATGATTAGAAATATTCTAAATTGAGACTTTCTTTCGTTTTATGCCATTTTTCGTGCTTGTAGACATGCAAAAACAAGATCATTTTGAACGTTATTCACCACAATATCCTCTACCTGTTGATATAACAAACATGTCTCGACAAGATACAGTCTGTCAATTTTGTGGCGTTTCTTATTTGATTCATAATGAAATAAAAGCACTTGAAGCGAAATGTCAAAAACTTGAAGCTGATTTAACTTATTACGCTGACATGAATTCACGAGAAAGCGCTTTAGAACAAACATTACAAAATGAACGAACACGTATATCTGATCTTGAATCAACGATTGTGATTAATACTCACAAGTAGATTGATTATCTAGTGTTGGTTTCAAGAAAATAAATTTTCTGTTTTCTTCTTGGTAGACTCAATGAAATGACAAGAAAACTTCAGTTAATACAAGATCAACTAGAACAATCAGAAAGTGCTCATCAAGAAACGAAGTATGTAAAATAATATTCTTGACGTTATCTGCGAGGATAAGATCTAAATCCAGTCAATGAAAGTCTTTGTTTAGTTTCAATGGCGATCTAGAGTTTTTGATGAAAGATTTGCAAAACCAAACTTAGAATTTAGAAAACATTTGAAAACACAATAAAATGTTCATAGTCGATTTTCCACGATTGGCAACCATGATGTAATAGGCTTAAAAGAAGTTTTTCTATGATTTTCAGGAAAATTTCCACGAATTCAAAACGAGAAGAAAACAAATAACTAAAATAAACTGTCTATATCCAACGAGTTTGCATTTTTCTTTCTATTCAGCGTGTATTACAATTAGAAGTTTTCTGTATAATGAGTACTGTTAACTGAAAATGCAACATTTTAAAATGACTCAAACGTAAGTTATCTTGTTCAAAAATTTTTCTCGATCGGATGAATAGTTGTGGAAAATATTTTTAATAACGCCCAGAAAACTCTTCATGATATTGGTTTTCTAATGTCTTTTCAGTTAAGTGAGTTAATTCGAGATCGATAAGTTCCTGATCTGATAATTTTTAAGTTACTGAAGGCTTGTTGTCTATTCTTTCGAAAAACATTTTTATTTGACTTGTTTTCTTTCAAAAGGAGGCGTTTTTCCGAATATGCATCAAATCTACGACTTATATGTCATGAAATACAAAATATTCGAAAAGAATACTCTATTTCACAAGATCTCTATATCAATGATATTCAAAATTGGAAAACATACCTACATACAGTTGATAATTCATTGCAAAAAGGTAATAAACCAGGTCAATTTGATTTATTTATTTTTTATTTCTGAAACTATCAATTACATAGAAATTCGAAGAACAATGGATAAGAACACTAAACAAATGTGTAATTATCAAACAGAAATCGAACAGTATCAAAAACAACTGAAGTATGAAAAGAAAAACGTTCTTTTTTGTTTTTCTATGTAAAACAATATATATTTTCTGAAGCAAAAGAACATTACTCATTCTTTAACGACAGTTTCGATTGTACTTTATAAGACGATCTAAAATAAACCATCTTGTCGATTATATCATTTACTTTATTTCTAGCGAAACAAATCAATCTTTTCGAGATCTTCAAATAAAATATCAAAAATCTCAAGTTGATTCAAATGTATTTCAGACTATGTAGAGATATTTTTCCTCACATAATTTTAATTATGTATTTACACATTTGTTTTAAATCTAGAACACAAAATGATTTAGAAGCAGCCCAAAAAGAAATCATAATTCAACAAACTGAATTATCATCTTTACGTGAACAAATATCACAACTCGAACAAACTAAATTCGAATTAAAAAATGATTTGAAACAAATCCAACAATATTCTCAACAATTAGAAACACAACTATCTGAAAAAGATCAAACAAAAACTAATAATGATCTAATCGTTGATCAATATCGACAACAACTTTCCAATGAAAAAGAACTTCGATTAAGTAAAGCAATGATAATTATTGATCTAAATTTCTTGATTTTCTTTTTGTTTTCTTACTGTAGAAGCTGATGACGAACTAGAAAATATTCGATCAAAATTTCTTGACCTAACCAATGATTATGACCAATTGAATAGAATGAAAACTGAATTCGAAACAAACGAATTAAATACTCGACGAAAAATCGATGAAATGTCTCGATCACGTCAAGCTGTTCTTGACCGTACACGTGATGAATATGAAAAACTATTACGAAAATATACCGATCTTGATGAAGTTTATCAGGAGCTTGCTAATCTACAAGAAAAAGACATTTGTATGAAATAAAATTTATTCGTTAATATTATCTTCATTATTTTCTTAATACAGTAGAATCAAAAACGACTCGTGCTAAGCTCGAACGTTTACATGATGATAACACCGAGCTAAGGAAACAACGAGAAACACTTGAAATTACACATGATATACAAATAAAGAAACTTCATGATAGTTATTCAATTAAATTACATGATGCAGAAAAATGGCCTGATCATCTTCAAACTGAATTAAATCGCGAACGAGAACAACATCGAATACAAATGCATGAACTTGAACAACGTCTAACAGAAAGTTTTCTCACTGTAAGCGTGATAAGATACATTTAAAAAGAATTAATATAACTATCTTTTAGGAACTGAATATTGAAAAACAAAAATATATGGGTCTTCTACGTAAATATGAACATGATTCTGATCATTCAACAGAACAACTTCGTCAGGAATTGCTCTCAACAGAAAAAGTAACAATTGAACAACGATCATATTATACAAAACAAATTGAGCGACTTGAAAAAGATAAACACGATTTGAAAAACGAATTAGATAAATTAAGAAATGTTCTTAAAGAATTACATGAACAGATTAGTAAGTACAAAACATCTTATCATGCAATTGATCCCAATTTTTTCCGTTTAGATAAACAAGAGTCAATGAATAGTGATCGAGTAGACCATTTGAAGTTAAAAGAAGATTTGTTAACGAAAGAAACAAGCTTATTTCAAGCACAATCAACTATTAATGAATTACAAAAATGTTTAGAACAAATACGAGAAGAAGTATATTTATGCTTTTATTCTAGTATTAATTCATGTTTTAAAATTTCTCTAGAGAAACTGTTTGTTCAAATGTTAGCTATTGATAAATTATCAGAGTTATTATATATAGTCACTCGTTAAAACCAAACGTTTTTTATGAACCAAACATGATTAGATCTAGATCTGTATTCACATAGATCAACTATTTTGTTTCCGTCTATTAGAATAAACTTTTCATTAATTCTCGAATATCATTCTAATGAGTTTAGTTTTGCATTAAATCACATGTTTTAATAACGAAGGAAGATTCAAATTCGATACCGATGAAACTCACCATTAACTTAAAAGGATGATTCAATGACATTATTAGAAGTTTATAAGAACGTAAATTCACATCTTGCCCATATCAAGTTCTGTCCAATAGATAGGAAGTTTCGATTTCAATGGCAATTGTTCATTTAAACATCAACAATGAGTTTTTCAAATAAAATTTCGCTTATAGACAAGTATTATAAGTAGTAGAGTATTATTTAAATATCGTCATCATATGCATTTTTTGTACATATTGATTGTCTAAAGATCGAGTGATTCTTCTGCTTTTCTCACAACAAATTGATATTTTGAGGAGAGCGAATCTCATCAGATTTTACTCTCTGACGATGTAGCCATATCAACAATATATATATTATCAAACTAATGAAGAATCAACAGGACTTGAGCTGGAATTCGAAACACAGACGCAGAATTTCGATAGAGAAGTTATAAACATCGACATATATAAAGTCAATGTAGAAACATCGATTTTTAAAATTTGTCTTGCTTTTTCTCGAATTCTCTGATCTTTTAAGTAATCCGTACATTTAAAAATGATGTAGCTAAAACACTACCACATAAAATCCCGCTCTAGGTGTTCTAAGAACTCGTTATTTTCAACTTCTGAATGATCAATGAATCTCTTTCAAGGAACAGATATCAACTAAGTACAAAAATGAATTTAAATTCTCGTTCTAGTTGTTTTTTCTTTGAATGATTTTACAAAATGCACGTCAAATTGATGAGATATATCAGAAATTTGACTTTTTGTTTTCTATTTAGATGCTAATTTTACAAGAAACAGTTCATAAAGAGTGCACAGAACGTGAACAATTAAAAGATGCTCTTATTGATGCACGTCAACAATTACTTGCAACAAAAAAAAACAGTTTAGACGATACACACACACATATATATATATATCATTTTTTATTAAACTAAGTCTTCTTTTAAATAGGTGTCCTAAATGGAGCAGTATCTCGATCACTTCATTCTCCTCCAGTAGCCTTTGAAGAACTTGAAAAACGTGTGCCTGCACCACTTTCTTATTCTCAAAATTATCGACGTAATAAAATTACTTCCATTCACTCTGAACCAGCAAGTCATGATAATAGTAGTATTCCAAATGATGCGGCCGATTTAATAGCTAGATCAATGCCTTCATCACAAAATCTCTCATATCGTTACAAAGCACTTCCACCTATTCATTATCAACAACAACAACAACAACAACAACAACAACGCCGAAATCGAAATACGATATCATCAAATAAATCAGAACAATTACTCGAAAATCAACGACGTATTGCTCGATTTATAAAACATATTAAGTGAATCACAATCAATGAGCTTCAATTTTTAAACTTTATTTTTATAGTTGTTGTATCTGAAATCTGCACATTGAAGCTATATGTTTAGCTGTGTGTGTCCTTGTCTTTCTTAGTGATCTCATTTTTTTTTGATAATTGCTCATTTTTTTATTATCGGTGTATTGATACGCATACTCAGAAAATTTTATAATTCGCTGTGACATTTTTAGAAAGTAAATACATAAATTTTCTTTTTATACTTGAACTCTGCATATTGCATGAATCAATTATATGTCTTTGAATGAGTTCTAATAAGAATATACAAATAGCAGAAGTTGAACTTAAATTAAAATAGTGAATCTTAGATATATATCTTACTTAACCTGAACTAGTGCAGAACGCCATCTATTCTTGACTGCATTGGCAATAGTAACCAATTATTTCCTCTCATGTAAATATTTTATTTATGGTCGAGATAAGCTACATCAGTGTTTTTAATATTAAGTACCACAAACAAAAGCAAAGTACCCGTGATACTTACGATTTTGAAAAAGAACCGTGTTTTGCACTTTGCTCGGAAAAACAAAATACGCTGATGGTACTCTGTAAAATAAAAGAGTACTTTGTTTATTTGTTAGCCAATGGCTAGCAAGAAGAAGAAAAACAATACTAAATTGTACTTTATTTGTTTTTTTGTATACACAATACTAAAGGTTAATTCAGAAAAATGTTTATTTAAGCTAGTCAGATGAATATGTGCCCATATGTTTCATTGCGATCAAAATGCGGCGCAGTTACGGCGTAACTGCGATCGCACTGTGACCCGTAATTGCGAAAAATTGCGACACACTTGCGCGTAACTTCGATGGAAAAAACGCATCTATGCAAAATTATGGTTGAAATGTCACAGTTGCGCCGTAACAACGTCACAGTTGACTTTCCCATTCATAATTCTAAATCAGGTAGTGCCATAATTCAAAATAGTCATTTAGAAATTATAGTTAATCATTTCACATGTTTATTATGATTAAATTAATCAAAACGATATCATACACATGAAAATACTAAATAAACAACATTTAAGTAAATATTCACATGGAAAAACGTATAAAGAAAAATGATATTACAAAAGTTCATCACAATATATATTCATTAGTTTATCAATGAAACGCAATATAATACAACACGCCTTTAAAATATTTATGTAAGTGATTCTGTATTAAATCTAAAACATGATATAACATAGATAAGAACTAATTGTTAATTTGTTGATTTAATGGTCGAGTTTTCTTCAGTTTTGCATCGATTGTGCGTCGTTTAGCCAGAATGACTGTATGTAACCACACCCACATTGTTTCATGTTCGTCTTTACTCAAACGAAATTTGTTCCGAACCGCTTCTAAAATAAAGTTGTCATAATAATAATAAGTTAAGGTTATTGAATATTTGTAAACCTTTGATCAAATTATATCGATAATCGTTGGGAAGATCTTTTGCTTCTATGCTAACTAATTCTTCAGGATCATCGAATAGTGTATCCATTAAAGATGTGACATAAAGATTGGCATGTTCTTTGACACCTTTTCTTTGTAACAGATCAATAGTAGAACCATTTGGTAGTTTGTGTTCCTATGAAAAAAAATTTCAAAAAATTTTATTTTATGTATAGAAGCAATAGTCATACCAAGATTAATTAAAAACTTTCATTCACGACAGATTCTTCATTCGCATCGGCATCGACTAATAAAATATTCATCTAAAATAATAACCGAAAGTACGATTAACAAATAACAACTCATAAATTACTTTTTGTTTTCTTAAGATGTTTTGAATTTTCTTTTGGTTGGCAAACGAATTACGCATCATTGTTTCGAGACGATCTTGTCGAACCAACATTGGCTTCAAATATTGAGTCTCTAATTTCTGTGTTAAAGACAATAGTTGTTGAATTTCCGAAGACGATGTTACACATGATCGCTTATTTGACTTTTTACTACTTGTTACAAGATGACCATTGAATGTAGGCACTTGATCTGATGATTGATTTGTACAAGTATGATGTTCATCGTCGGCCGCATGTTCATCGTCACTGGTATCTGAGTCATCAAGTGTGTTGTCCATATTTTGAAATAATACAGTTGATGATAATTCACCGTTAGATTGTTTAAATCGTTTATTTTTCAAAATCGACTTTTTCGGGTGGTGGGTATTGGTTGGCTTGTTTAGATTGTTTGATGTTGGCATAGTAGTTGTACATGCGACTTTTGGCAACTCAAGAAGAACATCTTCATTTTCTTTTAAGGCTAAATAGTATTACAATTTATTTCAGAACAACATCGGTTAAAAGTAACTTACACGAGTTGTTGATTGATTGATCAGAGCGAACATTATTTGCTAAATATAAACAGCAACACATTATTTCTTATAAGATTGAAAAATAACAGTATACCTGAATTATCAGTCGACATCATGATTACAGATGCTAAACGTGGTTGACCATTAGAGTTTTTCTCTATAAAATAATCATATTAAATTATGATACATTTTATTTCAACAAAGTTACCTGTAAATGGAATACTTTTCAACGAAGTAAGTGTTGCTGTAGTTGCTACAATAAACCAACTTAATAAAAATAGAAAAGAAAAATTTCTTACGAGGTTGTTTCAATTGATTCATATTGTTATTTCGTTCATAATCGCTCTCAATTTCTGGATTGACCGTCTTTTTGGTTAATCTATCAGCAGCTGCACTACATTGTGATAATGATCCTACAAAATAGATAAAAATAATAATAACAGTTAATTTAAGTTACATGTATTATTTTTTTCTATCATGTTGAAGCGTACAGATGCAAAGGCTGTTATAACAAAACAATTTAATTACTTAAAAATGTTTATATGCAATTTAGTGCATTTTTCAAGTATGAAAAGAAAAATTATATGAGAACATACAAACATGAGTATGAAGATACACAGTAAGTAACTATATATAGTTTATGTTCATAATGAATATGAAAGTAGTACATCGATCATTAACTTGAACATGCTTACAAAAATATTATCCTATAAAATGTATTTATTTTACCTTCTTCCAAAATAACTCCTGTAAACTTTTTCTTGCCACTTTGAACAAATACAAAACCATCATGTTCCGCAGGACAACATTGTTTTGCTTTAACAACTGCAATCGAATTATCCGATGGAAATAAGATAAGACAATATATCAAATTTTCTGTATTTGCTCTTCGATTCAAATAATGTTTCGCGTAAGTATTTTCAGTACACATCTATATACAATAATTAATCTAGAAAAGATGAAATAAAGGTAATTAATCGATATTAGAAACGAGTTGAGTCTAAATTTCATGAAGAATATTGTGGTCGATAAATGAGTCCATGCGTTTCAAAGAGTATGAATGGAAGTTATCAATGAACGTTCGTATGAAAGAGTTTCTATATATTGTATACAAATTAATAGATAAACATGAATATCGGTACAGACATATGTAATCATAATCCAATTACAAGTTGTCATGTAATTGTGTAATTGTCTTACATTTGATGTACAATTGTACATTTTTATGTATCTCTACAATTGAATATTGGTTTTCATCATGCCGCTTACTTTTTATTCTATCAACATTATAATTCTGATTCGACAAAGTTCAAAACGTGTATTTTACTCTAATAGGAAAGCAATATATTTGTTGTTCAGATTAATATTTTTTTAGTTTCGAAATCTACATAAAACAAAGAAGGTTAAAATAGAAATCTTACTCACCTATGTGCTCGTAGAAATGTATTATTAGTCATGTTCGTAATCGATACGTACTTCTGATAGACAACAGTAATCCTTAAAAGGAATATTTACACATTTATGTCTTATGGAATCGACAGGAATCAGAACAAATGTGCTGGTTAATCGTAATATTGGAAATAATTTATTCGCTTGAGAATGTAATGATGATGGAATATCTAAATAATCTGTAATCAATGTTGAATTTAACGTATACTTTTGCACAAAGGCAAACAAACGTGAGCCTTCTTTCATAAAGAGTATAATGTTTCCATAATGTACCAATTTGCTAATTGAATCAATATATGAAATGATATAACTTTTACATTTGAATGGTTGGCTGTAAATCGTAGTATGATATATGACAAAGAGACTTTTTAATCGCAGATAAAAGTTACATGAATTAAGATTGGCTGCATTTAATACAATTTGTTGATCAAGCATTGTACGATACGGATCAAGACGATTATCCAACCATTTAATTTCCTAAAATATACAGTATTAATGACGAGTTTTCATGAATAATAAACTTACATTGATGGTTGTAACTGTTGGCGGGTTCACTGGATGTGTATTCATGATTGTTTGAAGATCAATCCAATAAGATATTTGTGTACCAAGATGTTTACTACCATGAGCCTTCTTACTAATAAAACGAATACATGACTCGAAGCCGAACGCAGATGTATGAGCAAGACCACCATGTTTTCTAACTTGCTGAGCAAGATGAATATGAGCATGGAGTGAATATATCTCGATTGAGCAGTCATGTATTAAACCAGCAGTCTTGCAATAATAATTCATTAAGTCTTCAGCCAAATTTATTTCTTCGATAGATTCAGGAGCATGAAGCATTTTCACTGCCATTGAATAAAGTAAAAAATGTGAGGCTAAAAGCTGTGGAAGATGTAATGTAACAATTGGCACACCAACGTTCAAAACGAATAAACGACTATTCTTCGCTTTCCATTGACTGGCATTTAATATCGAATCCAAAAATGGTACATTAACGTTGTGTGGTAAACAAAGTTGATCAAGTGCAGAATCGATGGAACGAATTGTTGATCGGTCGATACTTTGACACCAACGTTTAATGAGAGATGGCATATGACCAAGGCACACTAGATGCATATAATCAAAGATAATCTGTGATGGATATTCAAATATCTGAAAGAAAAGTAAAGTCAGTGAATGAACTTCAAAATATTCTGAACTAAAGAAAAAAATCTTTGGTAGTTAAGTCCTATGTGGTGAGTTATTTTCAACTTTCAGCGTTTATTTATATTCACGATCGATATTTTATCTTTTACAAGAGTTCGATTACTTTCTCCAGAATTATTTAGATGGCTGAACTGAATGACTGGAGTGTGTGATTTAAATGATTTAATTTATAAATTTTGATATGCAAATTAAAATTTTACAGACCTGTAGCAGTGCCGAGATACCTTTGATACCGTTAACGGAAATGTTTTTTTTTCGAGTTGACTTCTTCTTTGCTTCCCTTGCTGCATTGATGTATTCTTCATGAGTGCGAGATGTTAAATTATTTTGAGTAAATGGATAAATAACAACTTTGTTCTCTGCATCCCACTCGCCTATAAGAAAAATTTTAAATATTTTTGAATATCTAGATTACTAAGTTCGTACACGCTCATTCAACTGTACATAATGTATAATAGAGTTGTGACAGACACTAATATAACTCACATCTACGTCAAAAATAGACTGTCCTAGTCCTTCATCACTGAGTTTTTATCATCGTAAGTAATAGTGTTCAAGGTTCCATCATTTATTTAATACATTGTCTATCGTTTCGATCCTTTATATAAGTGCCGTAAGAAAGTTATAAACAGGTAAATGATACTATGTTAATTATTATCAAACATTTAAGAGAAAAAGAAATATACCTCAAATCGAACTCGGGGGCATATTTTTATTTATTTTTCTATGTTTTCTTTCTTGGTAATACTTTGTTCATCCATTTGATGTCATAATTTGTTTTGGGCAAAATTAGACAAGAAATTCGTATCGATTTTCTATATACATCATTATCTCCGTTCACAGAAAGGAGTTTATTGTCATTTTTGACATAGTCTACTTAATAATGATTTTATCATGTAGTTGGTCTTATTTTAGAATTAGAAAAGCTTTCTGACGATGATGTCACGCACTCATTCCGATTTCATCGATTACATAATGTTATTTTGTTGATGACAAATAACTTGTTTGCATTCATTATGCGAAAAAATTTATTATGTCATTTGAAATAAAGTTATATGAAAACAATATAAATACATAACAGTATGATGATGATTAGATGACTGATTACTTTATTTTTTCTCTCATAGGTCAACTGATCTGTTCTTCAAATGATTTTCCTATCTTATGAAGCTATTCAGAACAAATTATATACTCATCATATTTGTATGATTGATTCACGTTTGTAACGCTACGTGATACAAAATGAAATACACCGTCAAAGTTATTAGACAATGTAAATGTAATTTAGATGTTCTGATTTGCACATTGTATAGTATACCTATAAAAGTTACCAGTCACCTGGTGTGACGAAATCTACGTGACCTATTCTCATGTGTTAAATGTATTAATTGAACTTAGTCTTCACTCATAAGACTATAGACGTAAAAGCGCATCTAAGCTGATGTAATATGATTTCGACCCGTTCATACTTTTTTTCAAAAAATATTTCAAAAGCCTAGTATAGTTTAAATCGTACCATACAAATAGTTTGTAAAATCACTAAACATACCTGTGCTGTGACATTCGGTGCAGGCCGAATAACCATTGAAATTGATAGTTTTACAAAATAAAGCTTTGGCAGGAAGATCAGATATAAAATATTGCGTTCCAAAAGAAATTACGTATTCTTGTCCATTGATGAATATTGATGTTCCATTATTAATGAGTAATTTAAGTTCTTCAATAGTTTCGTGCAAGAATACATCTGGATCAGGTTTAACTCTTGATGTCCATAGTGATAGTAAAACAATATTCTTTTGATAGTCACGTATTGGTGGAGGCAATTCTACAATTGATGCAAAACAAGGCCACATACTTTGCTTTGATGATTTGATCAACGGCGATCCATCTACATGAACGATAAATGTAATGCGATTAGTTGTAACATTAGACTTATTGCAATAGAATTCACCGTAACAAATATCAGTCATCGGATACAATTCCTTGCGATTAAGCAACAGCTGATTTCTGAGTAAAATCGATTGTACCTGTGTGCGAATGTCCAAATGGACTAATTCTACTATGTCATTGCTTTTCATGGTTCGGTTTTTTACAGAGCATCGTTCATTACGACATGACTTTGTACCATAACGACTTCTTTGACACTGTTGAAGACAAGCTGAACATAAGAAGGTGGCTCTTGATGTAGATACACGTCCAAGAACTTTCATGATACCTTTCCAAGTGGTGGGCAATCGATTTGGCTTTGGTAAAAATATTTTAATAATACGAAGTAGTTGAATGACAGCACGCTTATTTATGTTGAAGTCGTTAAAGAACGAGACCAATTTGTGTACAGCTTGGTTGAGTGTTATTGAGCTACCATTGAATAATGGTGTTTCATTTTCTTCATTTAATAAACGATTATTAGGTAAATAATTGTTAATTTCATCATTCATATAATTCAGTTTATCACATGGAGAAATTGGATAGTCAATATGTGGCAATGATGCTGTAGACTGTGTTTGCATTGATGGTTCATTGTCATTATCTTCGTCATAATTATCTTCACATTCACTGTCTATTGGATTATGTTTATCGAACAAATAGTGTAATCGTTTTCGTTGTTCTTCGCGTTCCAAACGACGAAAATTTACTTTCTTTGCAACGGACGAACGAAAACGAATCATCTAAATAGAGAAGATATTTAGAATATTATCAACTGTTCATTTTTTTATAACACAAGCACTCTCACTCGTAGAAAAAATTCATTCGACCACAAGTACCTTTGATCTTTACTGTACAAGTAGCAAAAAAATAAGTAAATGTATTACAGTATTTTATTAAGTCAAGTAATGAAGCTCGTTGTGGAGCTACGCATTTTCTAATTAGATAAAGCTTTTGCTCGATTTCTTTCAGCAATATGTGATTCTGCTTGGTATTCTTCCTTACCAAAAAACTATAAGAACTGCAATAAGAAGCCTTGCTAAGGAGAAAATACTAGTTTTATTAAAATAGTGACTAGTTGCTTTTTAGAGATGAGATCAGTTTGAAAATCGGAAATTTTGACAAAAAGACTTTTTGGCAAACAAAATCTATCGAAATATTATTTTTTATATAGAAAAAGAATTTTCTCCAAAAATCGAAAATTTTTCGTAAAAAAATTCTCAAAAAAATTTCTTTTTAGCAAAAAAATTCGCAGAAAAACTTATTTTTTAAGAGAAAATTTTTTTTCATAAAAACTCAACACAAGACTTAAAGAAAAAAATTTCCATCTTTACCTTCAAATATATGTTCAATGTTTGATTAAATTACTTGACCTGAAAGAAAATTCTAAATGAATAGTAATATGCTAAGCTTTCATTTTTATAGTCTAATTCGGTTCATTTTTCTGTTGGTAATTAGACTTGCCGAATAGAATAATTAAAATATTTATTTTTTATTGGTTAGTTTACTTTTAAAAAGTGATGACCGTTGTAGTTTGCTACGACTGTTGCATCGTAGATGCGAACCTAAGTCCGTCGCAGTGAGCGCAGAGATTAGTGTCAATAGCAACTGCGCACACTACGCCGCATTTATGCGTAGTTATGCTGTAAATCAACCACTGCGCGTATCTACGACGCAGTCTAGAAAAAATGAGCGACATGGGCAGAAACGTTTAGATAAAAATTCAAGCCCATGAGCAAGAAGTTTAAAAACTTAAGCTCACCGAAAGGCCTCAAGTCTTGCCTCAAGATGTGCCCATAGCGCATGGCATTCTTGCTCAAGATGTTCATGTTTTTCATGCGCATTTCAAAAAAAGTTCGTCTAGGGAACTTCGATGACCTATCTTATCGAAGTTATAACTTCGATAAAATTATTGTCAGAATTTCGATATAACTTTCCAAAATTATTACTTTTTGTCGTCACGAATAAAGAGACTATATTGAAAGTTAAATTTATTAGAGTGCATGGAAACTTTGTATATTCAATTGTGGATTATACTTTTTTAATGTAAGGAAAACACAAGTAAAGCAATAATGAATAATAAGATATTCATTTATCTTTTCTTTGTATGAGCCATTTTTTTTCTTTAAGAAGAATAAGGAAAGCAACATTAATTATATTAAATCAAACTAATTATTGACAAATAGGATTTAACTTCCCAATGTCCCGCTGATTGAAAAAAAATAGAAGTAGAACATTTTACTAAGGAAAAAGAAAATTGAAAAAAATTTCGAAAACTTTTATGACAATATTTTATTGGTAACACGACTGTTGTTCCCCGAATATTTCAGGGCTTGGGTGCAAGTGTGGGTGAGGGTATAGGTGTGGGTGAGGGTATAGGTGTGGGTGAGGGTATAGGTGTGGGTGCGGGTGCGGGAGAGATAGAGGTCGAGTTTTGGTTGTGAATGAGGCTTGGTTTGGACCTCTAGAGAAAGTGTACGGGAGCAACTCTCATCGAACGATTTTATCGTCCGGATGCCCCAGTCACTTGAAAATATTCAGAAAAAGACTATTTAAGAAAAACTATAGGAAGAAAATAAAATAAAACGAAATAAGTTATCGTCCCGACTAGAGTCCATCAGGTCCAAAATTTTCAGACCCGAACCCGGACCCGGACCCGGTCCATTAAATTTTAGTTAGACCCGGAACCGGATCCGGACCCAAGTAAATAAAATTTCTCGGAACCGGAACCGGACCCGTACCCGATTAAATAATCTTTTTCGAAATCGAAATCTACCTGCATTGTCAAAGTCAGATCTTGTATTCAACAATAAAGTTTTATTGTTTGTTTTTTCTATTTTTTTTAAATTCATTTATGATTATTTTTTGAATACAATGAACGAGAACTAAAAGTATACTAGAAAAATTATATTATTCTCATAAAATGATTCTTTGGATTTAGACTCGGGCCAGATGAAAAATAAAATCGTAAACCCGGACCCGACGGGCTCTAATGTTTAGAGAATTTTCATCAATAAAATAAGTTTTCTTAGCACCTGAGCTTTTCTCTGATCTGATTGCTTGAACTGAATAATAAAAGACGCCGATAGCAACGTTCTGATGGATGGATAGTTCTTAGAATGGTTCGATCTGATAATCGATATTGCATTTGTAAAAGTTTTAGGTAACTTACTCTTATGTACTCATACTCAAAAAGTTTCGTGTTTGCCCAGTTTTGTCTGATCGCTGTCGGTTCGATATGTGCAATTGAAAAATCGAGAAGAATTCAGACAAAAATAATGATGAAAATTGAATTAACCCTCAGTATTAAGTATTAAAGCGACCTTTCGAATAAAACTTAGGAAACAGAATAAAGAAACCAGATCAAATTTTACTCAAGTCCAAGCGGACATGAGTGTTGGCACATTAAGAAAAGGCAAATTGTTGCTTTTCAAACTTCGTGATAATTAAAAAGAAAGAATAAGTAAAAGTTAGACGCTATTATCTTCGCTTGTAGCTACAATAGCTATGAAAACAGATGAATCCAGGTCAGGAATCACTGAGACAACGCAAGAATCAGTCAATAGTCTTCATTACAAACATGTTGATACATGTTAATAGATTTCTCTTAGTAATGAATTTCTCAACAGTTACTTTTTGTTGTCACTGGGGCTTTGACCAGCTGGTTGATGGAAACAAAACTTTTTCGATATACTACAGCAAAATAAAACCTCATTACAGTGAATAGTGTGCATATCTTTACAAAAAAATACATTTTAAGTTTTTGCATCGCATTTCGCAACTGAGTGAAACTCGAATGTCATCTTATTTTATTCTGAAGTTTCAACAGATTTAGTAAAATCGGAAAGATCCGACGACTTACAGATATTTACAGACTGACGGTGCCTGCAAGTTTGTATCATGCGGCTTCAAGCAGTCTTTGAACATCTAGTAAATCACTTTTCTCTAACAGTTGATTTGATTCACAGTATTCGACATAGCAGCGAAGTTTTTTCTCATTCTTTGCAGATTTATCTTTAACTTATCGTTGCATATTTTTTCTATTACACGATGAACACAAGCAATAATTCTGTCAATGTGAACTTCAATTCGTCAGGAGATACCATAGTTTCTCTTTGTGCTCCATCATCTTTTCAGACTGTACGATTCTGGACTTACCTATTTTTTGATATATCTTCTCTTATATGTACTTTCTTGGATCTATATTATCTTCTGGTTGATCGAAAACTTCGTCGTGCACTCAATAATCATGTCATTATTGTTCTTCTCATTGTTGGTTGTATCGATGAATTAACCAACATTACATGGACTCTTTACAATGATCATAATGGTACGCCTCTAATCAAATCATACACATTCTATTCCTTCTGGGCTTTTATCAATCTTGGATTTAATTCGCTTCAAGTTGAATTATTTGCTTGGGCAACTATCGAACGACACATACTTATATTTCATAGCCATTGGATAGGGACAAAAGCAAAGCGTTTCTTTCTTCATTATTTTCCAATCGGTGCAATCGTCATTTATTATCTTATCTATTATTCTTTTGTTTTCTTTTATCCATTTTGTGAAAGTTCATTTGAGGTATTTTTAGCCGGAGGTTTTCATATTCCTTGTGTTTTTGATCACACAGTATTAGGGATGTGGGATTTGATCGTTCATCAATTTTTGCCTACTGTGATTATTGTACTCTTTAGCATGGCACTTCTTATTCGTGCCATATTACAGAAAAATCGTTTACGTCAAGGAGTTCACTGGCGAAAACATAAAAAGATGATCACTCAATTGTTATCCATCTCTGCTGTCTATGTCATCTTCAATGTGCCATGGGTTTTAGTCATTTTTGCTTATCAATATGGTTTACCGACAGATATTGCAACAGTCGCTTTGATGTATACAGGATTTCTTTATTATTTTGTGATATTTTTATTTCCATTTGTCTATTGTTTATCATTATCTGAACTACGATCTAAAATGGCAGAGAAACTTTTATTCCGATCAGGTGCACAACAAGTTGGTCCCACAACACCTACGGTACGACAACGAACTGATGGAAGAGTAGGATACTGATGGATCCACTTACAAATCGTATTTCATGACATTTCTAACGACTTTCTAGTTCATAGTCAACCTCTTTTTTCATTCAAAAATAAATGTAATCACATAAATTCAAATGGCAAAGGTGCAAGTGTACAGAACGGGTCAATGTTGCAATTAGTGGTGGTAAACGGTGTGGGTGTG